AAAAAAAAAAGATTGACAAATTATATAAAAAAAACGGATATTATTACTATAAAAAAGAACTATCTATAAATAAAGGATAATGTTATATGTAGCTCTAAGGGCTATATATATAAACATTAAATATACTCTTGAAAATTGTATAAAATTAGGAATTCATGACAAAAACACGCGTGAATCAGTCTTATTAATGCTTATATTTTGATGATTTTTAACTTTTTATGGTTTTCAAGTGTAAATTTAATGGTTATATGTAGCGCTAAGGGGTATGTATAACATTTTCCATAAATAAAAACGGACTTTTAATTTTAAAAACCCAAAAAAGAAAAACCTAGGGGTGGGACTTCGGTCTGGCAGTTCGGTTTGACCTCGGTTTGAGTCGGTTTCGGTTTGGAGCGGTTCGGATTGAAACGGTTTAGTTTAGCAGGCGGGTCGGTTTGGTTCGGTTTGGGTTAGTCACGGCTCGGTTTGGTTTCGGTTTATTTCTTTGCGGTTTAAATTCGGTTTGGGTCATAAGCGGGTCGGTTTATAAACGATTCGGATTATGTCGGTTCGGTTTGATACGGGTCGGTTTAAGGGGCGGGTTTACCCGGGTCAATGTCAGTTCGGTTTACAAACGGTTTGGATCAAGCCGGTTTGGTTTGAAATGGGTCGGTTTAGGGGCGGATTTACCCGGGTCAATATCGGTTCGGTTTATAAACGGTGCGAATCATGTCGGTTCAGTTTGAAATGGGCCGGTTTAGTAGAGGGTTTACACAGTTCAATTGGTTCGGTTTATGAACGGTTTGGATCATGTCGGTTCGGTTTATAAGCGGTTTGGGTCATGAATTGAATTCATGATTGTTTTAAAGATCGCGTCATGACCATGATTTAATGAGTTGATACTTATAATACGATAAATCGATAATTAAGAATGTACAAGTATTCAATTAGATTGATCAACAAGTGTTTTAAACTTTTAAGTTTTAATGATCAGATATGTAAATAACTAAATATGTTTATCGATTATAGTACATACCAATAATTCAATGAGGCAATGATACTTATGATAGTATGATAATGATACCAACCGTACATTCGTACGATATGATATACATCATATACATAATAATATAATTACATATACATTAACAATATCTTATTGAATCAATTTCCATTTCCAAACATTGCATTTCTTATAAATTATAACTTACACGAGATTAAATGGATTCGTTATTTAGTTTGTTACTTTATTTAGATTACTAACTCAAACAACTTAATAAGTTAAATGGACGAAATCACGAAATCATGACCATGATTTAATGAGTTGATACTTATAATACGATAAATCGATAATTAAGAATGTACAAGTATTCAATTAGATTGATCAACAAGTGTTTTAAACTTTTAAGTTTTAATGATCAGATATGTAAATAACTAAATATGTTTATCGATTAGTACATACCAATAATTCAATGAGGCAATGATACTTATGATAGTATGATAATGATACCAACCGTACATTCGTACGATATGATATACATCATATACATAATAATATAATTACATATACATTAACAATATCTTATTGAATCAATTTCCATTTCCAAACATTGCATTTCTTATAAATTATAACTTACACGAGATTAAATGGATTCGTTATTTAGTTTGTTACTTTATTTAGATTACTAACTCAAATAACTTAATAAGTTAAATGGACGAAATCACGAAATCACTAATTAAAGTGGTGATGAAAGCATTATGCAATACTAATGTTAGTAATGTACGAATAGTCAAATATACAACGGTTAGATTGAATGCCCATGAAAAACAATGGTTAGATTTTCATTACTTTATTAGTTATTAGTATTATTACTTATTAAGTTATTATTAGTTTTATAGTTTATTATATATACTGATATACAATCACAGACTCACAGATGTCAGATATTGTCACATTGATGAGCATTAAGCCATTAACTCATTAAGTCATTAACTATGTCGTATTGAATCAATTTCAATTTTGAAACATTTGCGTTTCTTACAATTTATAACTTATAAGTAATAAACTAATAATAATAATAATAATAATAATAATAATAATATAATAGTAGTAGTAAACTAGTAATAATAATAATATTAACAAATAATTATACTAACAATAATAATAATAACAATAATAATAATAAATAATTAAAAAAAACGGTCAAAAAGACCTAGAAAAACACAAAGAAAATCTAGACCGTTAGATCTAGATGAATATTCTAGAATCTACAAAAAAAAAAAATGAACGGTTAGATCTAACTTAGATGTTGAGATTGAATATGGACGGTTAGATCAACTGAAGTAAAACCTAAACCTCATTCACTCATTCAGCCATTTCTCACTCTCACTCTCTCTGCCATTCTCATTCACTCATTCAGCCGTTTCTCTCTCTGTCATAGTTTCTCTCTCTAACTTCTCAGTTTCTCACTCTTTCGTTCTGAAATTCTCAAGCTCAATTTCGTTTCATTTGTGTTTTAGATCTACATTTCTGATTTCTAGCTTTACATTCTCGTTTTTTTGTTAATTTTTGTTGTTTTCGTTTTGATTTTTTTCGTTTTTGTTCCGGTTTGTTAATATAGGGTTTTTGTTTTCGTTTCATTTGTGTTTTGGATCTATATTTCTGATTTCTCGCTTTACATTCTCGTTTTTTTGTTAATTTTTGTTGTTTTCGTTTTGATTTTTTTCGTTTTTGTTTCGGTTTGTTTATTTAGGGTTTTTGTTTTCGTTTCATTTTTGTTTTGGATCTAAGTTCTGATTTCTGATTTCAAATCTTCCTCTCCTTCAAGCCGTCAAACCCTAAGGTAATTTTTTTGTTAATTTATTCGTTTTTTTCGTTTTCGTTTCGGTTTTTTTTTAATTTCAAGTTCTGATAAATTCTTGATTTTTTCTTTTGATCTCCAGTTCAGGTAAGTTCTCCATCTTCAAATCTCCTTCAAGCCGTCAAAGGTAATTACTTTTTCCTTTTCGTTTTTTTTTTTAATACAGTTTTTCTGTTTTTGTATTTGAATAATTTGATTATTGTTGTTGTTCTTGCTTGAATATAGTCGAAATATGCCTAAAATGAGTAAAATCTGTTGTTGATTGTATTTTTGTTTTTTACGGGAAAATGGTAGATTTGTGCCTAAAATGAGTAATCACGTTTGTTGTATAATTCTGAATTTTGAAACATTGACTAGTGCAAATGAAATTCTGTTATCAAGCGGATGTTGAGGAAGACGTCCTCCTTATTGGTAAAGAGATTAAAGCCGAAAGTGCTTCATCTGCATAACTGGTATTTGTGTCTCATTGTGGTTTATTTTATCTTGAAAAATCGTTGCCCTTGTCATTTATTTTCAGACTTGCTGGCAGCATTTTTCTAGACTTTTAAAATCGTTGCCCTTGTCATTTATTTTCAGACTTGCTGGCAGCATTTCTTAAGTTTTTGTTAAAATAACCATTGCTCGGTGATGTAAATCTGAGAGCAATTTTAAAAAACAAAAGCTATAATTTTGAAGTTGCTTGAACTTGTTATGAGCTGCTGCCTGCTGGTAGTGCTTTTGCCTTTTGGTTGTTGTCTCTGCTGAGTTGTTATTGCCTATATTGTTGCCTGCATGAGCTGGTTCCTGCCTCCTGCCAGCTTGAGGTGCTGTGTTGCTGCCTTTTGTGTTATGAATTTATGATAAGTTTTGTTGCTGCCGTTTCTTATGCTTGCTGTTTTAATTTTTCTTGAATCATCGTTGCCCTTGTCATTTATGTTGAGACTTCAATGTATATGTACTTGCTGGCAGCATTTTTCAAGTTTTAAGTTAAAACAGCCATTGCTCAGTGATGATACGATAAACGTAAATCTGAGAGCAATTTTGAAAAACAAAAATAAGTTCCTCCCAAATCTGTGCGGGTTCCTGCTTGTTGCTGCTATTTCCTCTGCTCTTGGTTGCTGTGCTGCTGCTTCAAGATTCTGTTTCAAGATTCTGCTCCCAAATCACTCACATTCTCACTCCTCCCTTCATCTTATCATGTATCATTTTTTCAGTTGATAAATCTGAAATCTAATCTTGGTAGTAGTGATAGTAGTTTCATTATGTATTGCCGTATTGGTATATGTATTGTGAATTTTAATCAATGAAAATGGTGACTTTTTTTAATTGCTTGTTGATATTACTCTAATTTTAATGTTATTTATCTCCAATCTTATGTTATCTTATTGGATGATCATGAATATCAAGGAACAATGAAGATAATTTGGGTGGACTTTATTACTGGAATGAAAAGATACAAATGATATATCTTGTAATTAAAATAAATAAGTAATCTAAAATGATATTAATAATGCCGTTGGCCTAGATCTAGGTGATATAAACCTTTGTATAAACCTAAGCCGTTTGATTAGATCTTATTAACATTAATTATTTTATTGTATTTACTACTTAGCCATTTAGGTTGTAAATAATTCAATTTGAATTAAGCAGTTTGTAATCGGATAAGTTTAAACAGGTTGCGATTCGAAAACAGTTCGATTTTAACGGTTTAACGGGTTATGGCAGTTTAGTTTAGACGGTTAGCGGATTATAACGGTTCGGTTTATACGTGCGGTTTAAACGGTTTTGGTTCATAAACGGGTCGGTTTAAACGGTTAGCGGGTTACAAATGGTTCGTTTTAAACGGTTTTTTTTTTCGGTTTAAACGGTTTCGGTTTATAAACGGTTCGGGTCATTAACGGGTTTATAAACCATTCGGTTCGGTTTCGTTTCGGTTCGGATTTGCGCAGTTTGGTTTGTTATCGGTTTACGGTCCGTAACGGGTTGACATTGAGCGGTTCAATTCGGTTTCGGTTTGATATTGAACGGTTCAGTTCGGTTTTCGGTTTACATTTATCGGTTTATAAACAGATCGGTCCGTGATGGTTCGGTTCGGTAACGGGCGGTTTCACGGTTCGGTTTGAAAAGTCCCACCCCTAGAAAAACCCAAATAAAATCATACCCGTACATAGTACATACTACTCGAAGTCGTAAGTCGTAACCAGTAACTACAGCTAAAAAACATACTGTAAAATTATTCTTGGGTCTTCTCTCTCTGAGTTTCCCCATTAAAGCGCACTCAACGTTCTCCATTTAGGCGACTCGTGGTTTTTCTATCCTCCTTAAAGCAATTTCTGAGGTAAGATATTGCTTTCTTTTTCTAATCATCGGATATCAATTTCTCAATCTAGGGTTTATCTTTAATTTAATTCTCAGTATACTCATTTAGGGTTCTTCGCTTAATTTGATATTTGAATCTAATTTTCTTTATTGTTAGTAAGTAACTATGAATTTATGACCCTAATTTGATAAATGAATCAAATTTTGTTGCTAATTAGTTTACTCATGTGAACATCTACCAGTGAAAGGAAATTAGTGAATATTGAAAATTGATAAATATTAGCTGATTAAGTGACAAAAAACTGAAATTATATATTTCAGCTTTGTTTGTTGAACTGCAGATACATTGTAATTTCAAAGAATGGCTTGATTAGGGGCTGGAAAATTACTAGTTTTAGGAGTTTTCTTTTACTTTAAGTGGGGTAACTAGAAGCTAAACAAAGACAATGTTGGGGATTTTGTGTTTAATAAGGGTCACAAAGAAAGCAAACAAAATAAACCGGTAAAATCTTCGAGGCGTGAACGGAATCACTTTCCCAAAAGTATAATTCCGACCCTATATTACAACCGGGTTTCACGGAAATTTACTTAGGAGATACAACGAAGAACAATTGCAATCACAAGTAGGATGATTACAATTCAATGTATATAAGTGTATGTGATTTGTGATGATGATAAATATAGAGTTTGCAAAAAATATCAAAGAAAATAAACTACATATTTTCTTCCAGTTTTGTATGAGAAATACAAAACCACTTTTTTTAATTAGTTTCTGTCTTTTCATCATATGCTCACATTACATATATATAGAAGCAAATTTTATCAAGCAAAAAGTCACAAAGTGACTGCCAAAAGTTACAAAAGCAACTGACAAAACAACCAAACCAAGCAAATAGCTTATGAAGAAATACGAAGTAACTGTCGTAAACTGACAGCAAGCCTTCGCAATTCTTCTCCATTCTCTCGTCCGGTCGGACGGTGGTGGACCTGACCGGGCGGCAGACCTTTGTCCCAGAACTACCCTCGCGCGCCCGATTGGGCGACCACCACCCAGACCGGGCGGCTAAAGGCTGTTTTGTTTGCTTCCTCTTTACTGAGTTTGTTCCCTCTATACCAAGGTTATTTGCTTCTAATTACTTGCTACACTTAATTAAACACCTTCACCTATAATTAAGCAAAGCAATCATGAAAATTGTCACATACTCTAAATTACTCAACAATCCTCCCCCATTTAGAGTATAAATTAGACTCATTGCAAAATAACATCATCATCACAAAACAATCTCATGCATAAATGAAAGTGTACATAGACTTGAACTCCCACTTAGTGCAACATACAATTCAAGAATCCGTATCCATTTGGTATCGTAAAACGTTTGAACCAAAAGCGACACATTGGAAACTTGAAGATGTTACACACACAAGATTAATTACTTAAATACATATTTACTTGACACTATAAGCCATGTGTCCATATCTATTCATAAGCACATCAAAGCTATGCCCCAATAGCTTCTTGAAGCGGCTAAACTTCATTCTTATATAGGTAGATTCCCAAACATGCTCCTGGACCGAGGAGTATATCAGGAATTCTATTAAGTTAAAACAACCTCTTTTCATCACAGTAAAACAGGAACTTAACCTTGGATGAATAAACAAGTTCCCAATCATCAAATAAGAGAATTAATCTCATTGAACTTAAGACCCAACGTCTTATTGGGCGTTAAGTTGAGATTCCCTTAATTGTGATTATCATAGGGCTCCAATCATAAACCGATTGCCATCCTTTTATTAACATCTCTAACCCATGCTTTTTAAACAATCGGCGAGACTAAACTTCGTACGAAAATAAACAATAGTTTTTAATACTATCCTTGTTAAGTCCTTGATGTAACTATACCTTACACCAATAATATACCTTAACTCATTATTTTACACTTGGCTATGTCCCTTAGCCAAATTTACATTGTTATCCCAATAATTCATCACTATTAATGATATTGGCTTTTGCAAGAAGGAATCTCATCATGCATTAAAACCCTTAACCATTCTGCTTCTTTACCAGCGGAATGTAATGCAATGACCTCCAATGTCTTATAGAATGCACAATGCAAGTTAATTTGCTTTTTTGATGCCCATTACATGGCACCTCCCCCATATGGGAATACTCATCCACTTATGAATGAACAATCTCTATTTGAGATCCAACTTGCATCCGAATATCCTTCAATAACCGAAGGAAACCCACTAAACCACAAGCCATAATTCATGATTTTCAACAAGTAGTTCAACAAACAATAAACCGTTTGCCAACATAACATTAACATAGCATTCTAGAATTACTAGTGAGCCTATCCAATTGACCAATCACATAAGCGATATTCGCCCACTTACATGGTTTTTGTTTGATACATGCATATATACCCTTTTGTAACCAAGAGTATAAAATCATAATCACAAAGAGATTATCATTATCCATATAACTTGAATAAATTTCACAAACAATATCAACAAACACTTGATTATACTGCTATCACCATAGAGGCATAAAATTAAAAACATCAATAATTAAATTAAACATTGATATAATCAATTACAATAATTCAATACAAAATCCTCATGTCATAGACCATGACACTCATTGCATACCTTTATTCTATTTCACCATAGAATATTCATTATTATTAATTAATCAACCATACTTGACATATAACTCATAACCCTCTAAACCAAGGAACTATATATTCATGATTAATTCACTATAACTACAACATAATTTATCATTGCAGTTTCATTATTCTATTATACCATAGAATAATAACTTAAATTAATCATCAATTTAACATATGTCATTATTACTTTTATATCAATACAACAAGGCATTAATAAACCTAATAATTATAACATATTAATCACAAGACTATACTTGCCATGATATACAATACCATCATATCACAAAGTGACATAATAAAACTGTTGGCATACATGCATATATACCTTTGTCAATAATTAAATGACTACTTGGTTTAATTCATGCATGTAAACTAACAATCACAAAATCGAAAACAAGGCTATTCAACCTTTCATGAATAAATACCATGGAGTAACACATTATTAGACCATACATTATTCATCACACATGAGTAACCGCTATAAATAACTGCCATAACCTCAGTCAAGCTCGAATCATGGATTCCTTCCCGTAGGAGACCGCCTTAGGGCCGAATGGCAGCCTCGACCCGAGCGGTTCCAGCTTTCTTTTATCCCTCCAGCTCGTAGTCTCCGCTAGTGCAGCCCATGTCATTAACAGATTGCCTCAAGCGAAACTTGGCTTTCACTTTCGGAATAGAATATGCTGCTAGACTTTGCCTGCCATCTTACTAGAACAAAGATTCCTAGTTTCAAAACAAAGGTGCTACGACGTGAATCAGAAGGTTAGAACGAATAAGCTAGCTCTTTCCAAGAAGGGCTTTTTGAAGGGCAAAGAGGGTGAAGGGGAGCGGGCAGCAAGTTGGAGGACACTGCGGAACCGTAAGTAAACGCCCTGCAATCTTTCTAAAGTGCTAACGAGCTAGACTCAGCATCAGGAGAAAAGTTAGACGAGGTCCCTTCAGGCTCCGAAGAAGCAGAAGAAGTAGCTGCTACCGCTCCGTGGGCTTCTTCTTTTTCTGAGCCTGCTCGAAAGGTAACTCGAGAGTGCGAATCAGCGGCCACCAAAATAGTAGAATCGTTAGCCAGGGTTAATAGGCGAGTCAGGGGAGGTTGAATCAGAATAAGAGTTAGCGGGGGATAGACCAAAGGAATGGGACCAGAAAGACACCAAATTCTCCTTTAGGTGCTTCAACTGCGGGATCCCATTGCTTTCGATCAGTCGCTCCTTGATAGACTTGTAAAGTGCTTTATCTCGTGAAATCAATAATAGGAATTTCTCGGAAGAAAGGAAGCAAACTAAGATTTCTAAGAGTTTTGACTCTTCCTACTAGCGCTCCCCGCGGGTAAAAAAAAGCAAGAGAGTGAAGAACGAATGATCTTCCGAAAGACCGGCCGGCGCCCACCCGACTAGAGGGACTGAGAAATTAATAGAGTACAGTTGAACGTTTCTGTCCAACCGCTACATAGACACAATACAATCCTGTGTAACCTGCATTCCTTCCCCAGATGCTAAGACTTGGAAGGTGTTTGACCTTCATTGACCGGGCTTGGGCACAGAGGCAGCCCGGCAAAGGATGAGCTATGACCTTCAGTCCCAAACGAAACGATATCACTTAGGCCATACAAAGTACAAACCATCAATTGACAACCCATCACCCATGTAACAAGATGAAATAATACATACTTTGTATAACAAATAATTATGGCTATTAAACCATCCATCTATAGCAAGAATTAACCTTCTAGCAAATATATTAACAATACCCAGAAAAACATCTTAAGTATCTTATTAACAATGTAAAAATAAACAGTAATTCACACCCATTTCATGAACTATAATAATACTTAATTCATCCATTAACAATGTTAAATTACATGGTTTTAACCAACCATCATGATTTTTACCAATCATCTTTAATGGGCATAATTACAAGACAACATATCTCTAATAATAATCAAGACATAATCAATAAACTTAGATTAATTAAACATGTCAAGAATTAACCATAGAGATAAATAATCAAACATATAAATATATATTAATCACAAATAAGAAACCTCTTACTTGAATGGAGTGACTTTAATCATATAACTGACTAGAGAAAACCTTCCATCAAACCTTTTTCCTTGTAATTCCACAAGAAATATCACCATCTTCGTTTCCATCTCTATACCAAGATCTTCACCCTCGAACTTGTTCAATTTCTGGAAATTCGTTATCATACCCTTCACATTTGTCATCTTTGTAGAAATTATACTTTTGGATTGTTGGGGATTTTGTGTTTAACAAGGGTCACAAAGAAAGCAAACAAAATAAACCGATAAAATATTCGAGGCGTGAACGGAATCACTTTCCCAAAAGTATAATTCCGACCCTATACTACAACCGGGTTTCACGGAAATTTACTTAGGAGATACAACGAAGAACAATTGCAATCACAAGTAGGATGATTACAATTCAATGTATACAAGTGTATGTGATTTGTGATGATGATAAATATAGAGTTTGCAAAAAATATCAAAGAAAATAAACTGCATATTTTCTTCCAGTTTTGTATGAGAAATACAAAACCACTTTTTTTAATTAGTTTCTGTCTTTTCATCATATGCTCACATTACATATATATAGAAGCAAATTTTATCAAGCAAAAAGTCACAAAGTGACTGCCAAAAGTTACAAAAGTAACTGACAAAACAACCAAACCAAGCAAATAGCTTATGAAGAAATACGAAGTAACTGTCGCAAACTGACAGCAAGCCTTCGCAATTCTTCTCCATTCATGCGCCCGGACGGGCGGTGGTGGCCCTGACCGGGCAGCAGACCTTTGTCCCAGAACTACCCTCGCGCGCCCGATCGGGCGACCACCACCCAGACCGGGCGGCTAAAGGCTGTTTTGTGTGCTTCCTCTTTACTGAGTTTGTTCCCTCTATACCAAGGTTATTTGCTTCTAATTACTTGCTACACTTAATTAAACACCTTCCCCTATTAACCCCTTCACCTATAATTAAGCAAAGCAATCATGAAAATTGTCACATACTCTAAATTACTTAACAGACAAATTGCTTAAGACTGGGATTTTCGCTGATTTTTATGTTCAGTTGCTCTGAAATGCTCTTAGAATTGCGCTTTAGAATCTATTGGGTTGTTGTCTATGTGAAATAAATAGAGCGCTTCAACTTTCACTGATGTAATTGAAGTATTTTAGTAGCTCCTTTCTCAGTGAGTTTTCCTTGGTTGCCGTAATTCATATTAGCTCCTTGATAGATGTATTTCCAATTATTTGGAACTGTATTATAATGATGATCTTAATGGACCTAAACAATGAGAATGACCTTTTTGCAAGAAGATATATCTTGAATGCGGTCTTGTTTGCTTAGAACTTCAGAGCCTTTTTAGTGCTACGTGCATATCAATATGTAACTTGTCCGTTGATAGGATTATGAGTTGGAGATTTTGGATGTGACTATTCATTAAACACTAGAACGGGTTTGTTTCCCTGACCTATGTTTACCTTATTCCACATGATGTGTTATTCTAAAAGACTCTAGGATAGTAGGATGTTTTATGTACTATCTTGATTCTCGAAGTTATTCTTCTTCTCCTTACCATGCCCAAAATTGCATCTATTCCAAATGATCCTATTCCATTATTTTCCTAATAGACTTTAGGATGCTTTATGTAGCTCATCATCAATCGTTTTCGTAGTTGAGTTCATTTTCCTCTGATGTGCTCCCCGGCTTCCCTCACAGCATAAAGATATTGCCAGTCTCGTAAGTTAGGAGCTTTTATAGTTTCCCAAAAAAAAAAAAAAAAAAAAAAAAGGTAGGAGCTTTACTTTAAGCTGTGCTTAGTTAAATGCATGTTGATCTGTTGGTGTGATTCTTTAATGACTGCCATCTTCATTCATCTCCTTATACTCTGGCGCTTCATTTAGAACAAAGAAGTTAATTGATATAGCTCTTGTAGCTGAGTATTCTGGCTAATGTTTTTAGGACACTGGTTACTAATTCCCCTTTCTTCTCCTTAAAACAAATCCATGGCTAGGTGAGTTGTTGTATGCCTATCGCCTTTTCCACCCACATTATGTTGTTTGGAATGTCTGGAATGAGGTTCTACTATTTTGCCCCCATCTTTCATTTCTAAAGAATACAGGGGTCTAGCCATAAATCAGGATAATTGGGTATTATTAGACTTCACATGTATTGGGTAATCAGGTTGGTTTCCACAATGCTCTGAGAAATTTAGGCAGAAACCAGGAATACGATTTCTAGCTGAAGGCCTGAGGTTCATTACTGATATATTGTTATCTGCTTAATTTTGAAGTCTTGACTCCTGATTCTTGACTCCACCTGTGTGAAAGTAAACACTACCCCAACTTGGCTTCATTTCATCATTTGCCTTCATCACTCTCTTTAGATCGATTTTGATGGTTTGACTACCATCATCTAGCTGTATGTCATTGCTCTAATCTCTAAGGCTCTGTTTAATTTAATTACTATTTTCTGCATGCATAATCTCTTGTGATTCCAAATATTAACTCAAGAAACTTTCATTCTTTCCAACATTGTTATTTTACTTTGATCTCAGTTATGGCCATATTTAAAAAAAAAAAAAATCATCCTTAGCAACTTGCGATTCTTTACTATTATACTCAGGATATATTTGGTTGGACCTATGCTAGTGTCTGTCTGTCTGACCTATATTTCTTTCCCATTTTATAAAATTAAAGGATTTCTTAACTGTTGTATTTTATGTTTTCACTTGGTTTATGTTCTCCAAATTCTATGATGATGCAAAACTAACGAAAATAAAAAATTTCCCCCATCATGCTTTTTTCTGGACATTGTCGATTTTCAAAAGTTGATGATATGGTGCATATACAGCATTAAAGTGAAGGGTTGAGCCTAGGTGACACTATGAACTGTTTTTGGAATCTTAGGTTGATTAAGAATTAGACAGGTAGTGTGAGATCTTAGTTTCAAAAAGTGTGCCTTAGGCACAGGCACAAGGGACACTCAGGCACGAGAGCTGGCGCTAGTGCACAAAGACCTACAAAAGGTGCATGCTTATGTGTTTTTTTCTAGGCTGCTTTTTGTGCCTTATGTTGTAAGGCGTCAATAGCTAATGTGTAAGATAATATTTTTTAAAAAACACCACACGACTTTGTGATGGTCAGGCTTGCTTTAATTCTAGTAGAGAGAAATTCCATGTCCCCCAATTCCATTTGAAGTATCCTAGTCCTAGCTATTGATCATGTCTCTTTCACCTTTCCCATAACTCCCTTTTTTAGATTTATTTAATAGAGAATGAGAATAACTTAGTCTTGGTGCGCTTGTGCCCTACTGCCCTTTGACACTAATTGTGCAATGCTGTGGGTTAGACTAAGTTATTGAGAAAGGTGCAGTTGTAAATATTGCTCTGGTTTTATTCTTTGAGCCTTTATCAAGAATCGATTGTCTAATATCTTCGCTGCTGCTCACACGTCCCACTAAGGTTCCATTTTGCTCTTTGCAGTTAAAAATGGCTGAAAGAAGAGAGCCTGCCAATGAGCAAGCAATTGCAAACTTGTATGCCTCGATGAGGTCAGAACTGAACCAAATATACTCAAAGATCACAGAGCTTGAGATGGAAGTGAGCGAACATTCCTTGGTTATGAATGCCATCCAGCCACTTGATCCCTCAAGGAAATGCTACCGTATGATTGGAGGTGTGCTTGTAGAAAGAACAATCAAAGAGGTTTTGCCAGCTGTGCAGCGGAACAAGGAGGGCATCGAAGAGGTTATTGGCAGGCTGAACGAGGCTCTGGAGAGAAAGAAGAAAGACATTGCTGAGTTTGAGGCGAAGTACAAAATTAGGATAAAAAAGTCAGATAATGATGTGCAGGACAGTAACAAGAAAGAAGGTAACGCACAGGGTGTTCTGGTAGGCCCTGCCGGTGCTACTGAAACATAGGTTTTGTGCTGATAGTTTTCTTTTTTGAAGTCTTGGTCATATTATGTATTCCTCCATGTCTTTATAGTTATGGTAGTTTGGATGGTTTAGCAACTGGACGTTTTTGGATTTGTAACATCATCAGGTAGTGTGTTTTTGGTTTTGTGTTTATTATTTGTATGATTTTGCTATTAATATTGAAAGTTCCCGATACAAATACTAGAACTGAAAGTTATCTTTCATGTGCAATTCAATTGATATTTTGGTGTGCGCACTTGGATATTTGGTTAAACCCAAAGCATAGTTCATTTGCGAATAAACTTGGGTGCTCAGGTTGTGCAGGTTTATGTGTCATGCTAGCAAGTTTCGTGATTAAGTGAACTGTGCTTGAAAAGAACCAATAAGTGTTAACAAACACAAATCTCCTAATGTTACCTTTGATATATGTAAAAAGTTTTAAAAGTTTATCTCTATGACCTGGACTTTATTGGTTAACTAGTTCACAGACACAAATCTCCTAAATGAACTGAGTTTGATGAGACACTGAGATCATTTTATAGTTCGGACTTAAACTTGCACAAGATACAAATGCATATTAACTTGAGCAAGGTAATGCTCAACTGAACCAAATTATATGAGTTATTAGTAGAATTACTTTGTACCTTTTCTATAAACTGTACTAAACCGCTAAACTCTCCTCCTGCTAGTTTGGGTTGTTCAGATTCATTTAATATTATCTTAAATTTAACATACTTAAAAACCATAAATGGTCCAATTATGTTTTTATACTTTATTAGTCCTCACTCAAACACATTATAACTCAACCCGACTCGATCTCGATTTTAAAAAAAACTTGTTAGCAACACTAATGAAGTAATGGGGTCATCGGGATCTAATAATGTGGACTTTGATAAAATTGACCGACGCTGCAATTTCGTTGGAAGATCACGTGCAACAGATTGGAAAAATTCCAACTTCACTTTCTTAAAACTTTTTATTAACAACTAACCAAAAGCTAACACCATGTTCTCATATGGTTGGATTTTCTACGGTGGTCTATCTTTATATAATTGTTTAAGGATTTCATGACTATTAATCGTTTGCCACTAATCATTCCTACAAATACATCGAACTTTCGCACTTAACAAGCACTACTCCTTGATTACTCTTTTATAATTTCACGAGACAAAGACAGCACCGGCTTCTACAAACTACTAATTCCTAATTTTTACGTTTTAAAATTCGTTCAATTATTAATCTTTTTTATCAATTTTTAGAGAATTACTAAAAGTAGAATAGGTCAATTGAGGAAGTGAGTAAAGATTATGTTGGTGGGTTGTGCCGGGTTTGTGTGGCTTGTGCCTAGTTAGTCCCAAATCACTCCTGAGCGACTAAGCTCATTCATTACATGTCGTTGTTATGTATTTATGTGCCAATGTCAAATTTGATTTATTTTAATGTAGTTGTTATGCTAGATTATGTTGTACCTTATCGTGCTTCTCCCAAATAAATGTGGCCCAAGCTCAGCCTCTAACTTGACATGCAATGTGTTGTGCTTACCCCATGCTAGTGTGGTGATGTGCTTTTGCTTTTTGGGTCAACCATTCCACAACTTAGCACAATGCTATGTCATCTTTACTTGTGACCACTAGTGAGTATAGTTGGACATCGTGCGAGCTGGGTGGGCTATGTTAGGGTTAGGTGGTCATGGGTTGGGTATGGTGACACTCGGCCTAGGTTGGGGTAGGATGTGCTATCTCGGGTTGGTTATGTGAATCAGGTCAAAATAGTTTGGGATGGGTTGGGAAAACCAGACTCATAAACACAGCCCTTGTTCAGCCTAAATCACGTTGTGCTGAGTTGAAAGTTGACCCATTAGCCATGCTAGCCAGGGTGGGTTGAGTGCAACTCGGCCCACTGACAACCTCTACTTATGAGGTATATTGAGGCTTTAGCAACGAAGCAAGGTTAAGAATCAAAAGATGAACAAAGTGGCTCAAGAGAAGCTTCTGAGGAACTCTTCTTTGATATTTAAGTACATGTGTTTTGTGTAGGGTTAAAATTACATGTGAGATTAATATATTTTTGTTTATTGTATTTGAATTATGATTATTAGGGAATGCTTTGGGGTGTTGAAGTCATAAGATAGATCCTAGAGTGATAATGTCCTTATTGGTCATTTTGCATACTCATACAATTTTAAAAAATCAACTATTTACCAAACAATTTTATTCAATCATCTAATACAATTAGTTAGCCATATACCTAGTTAATACAATTAACTAGTCAAAACCAGCTACCACCATCAGGTTCATCTATTTTCATCAAACATGGCATTGATCTTGTGATTTGGTTAACCTATAAAAAGTAAATAGTTGCGTTAAAAATAAATAAATAAACACTCATAGAGTACAATTGTACACGTATAGGTAAAAGCAAATTTCAAATTTGACCAATATATCAATAATGAACTAATGTGAAGGGTATAATTGTATAAATGACAACATAAGTTGCAAAAAGAGCTAAATGATGGAGAATTTACAGTATTATATTATGATGATGAAAAGTTGAGTAAATGAAACTTTACATTATACATATTTGACACTAATGGACTGCTGGTATAATGGTGATTGAGACTACACTTGGTAGGAATGACCCGTGTTTGATCCCCCACAATAACAATTGGGAGGTGAATGAAACCTAACAACCCAAAACTAGAGCCGAGCGAAAATTAGGGTACTTGATCCGATAACCATAACGGTTCGGGTACCCGTTCCGATAATATAATTTGTTATCGGGTATGGTTATTGGGTATCATTTTAAAATTAACGGTTACCCGATCCGATAAGCATTTTTTTTTGCCTTTTCCCTACTTAAATCTATTTTTTTTTTAAATCTAAACTCTTAATTTACTTCATAATTACTTTATAATATCAATGATTAGTAATATTATTAATAATCTGGTCAAAATCATATGATATTGTTGTTAATTAGTGGTAAATTATATCATAATAACTACATAATTATCTTTAATTATCGTTATTGGATATCTTATTGGGTACCCGATAACCGATCCGAAAATTCGGGTACCCGAAGTCTAGGTACCTGAACTTATCGATCGGGTTATGGATATCACTTTTATGGATTTTGGTTATTAGGTACCCGAACCGTTAGTACTAACGGTAAGGGTACCCGTCCCATGCTCACCCCTACCCAAAACTGATCTTCGAATCCGGATTAGCCCAAAGAGTCAACCAAAACATTATATATATTTGGCAACAATTATCACGATAACATTTAATTTTAATACATTAGTCATGTTGGGTCTAGAATGATAAAAATACCCTTATCAACGATTAGACTCACCATAATAAAAGCTTGTTTATCCAGAATCATCCAATAATGCTACAGTTATAATTTTACCTCTAATTTGCTCAAGAAGTACATTTTAGTCACATAAAAGTATGATTATCAAAATAGCCAATTTTTTCTAGGGAGAGATGGTTGAAAATACCCTTCCAACGATCAAGTTAAATTGCATTGGTCTTCTAGTTCTAGACACACACTCTTGTCAGTCTCTACTGTCTCTCCTAAATCGATTATTAGAGGGGATATTTCCAAAATCAACCCCCGGATAGATTACTCTTTCTCTTTTATAAGTTCACAAACGCCTTGAAAAGGACGAAATTTAGTTTAATCTGGACAATAAACTCATATTAGAATTAAATGCCACAATAGAATTTCCCAAAATTTCTCTTAAACCATTAAAAAAAAATTCTATTCTAAAAACAAGTAAAAAAAAAAAAAAATTTAAATTCCAACCATTTCTATTATTTAGTACAGTAATAAAAAGAGTATAATTATGAAAAAGGCATTGTATATTCTTGAATCACATTAGCAAAACATTTGTTTTGGTGCATGATGTGCTAGGCTGCTAGCCGCCATTGCTCTCAAGTAAACGCAACACGGAGTTCAAACTCAACGAGTAAAAAAGAAATTCTGAATGTGTCGGTGCACTTTACATGGCAAAATAGGACCAATACTCTCTCATTTGTCCCACAATCCCACCGTCTTGTTTTTAGTAGTTTATTTAAGTATTGAAAGCAACAATATTTTGGTTTGGAGTAAACGTGAGTAATAAACAACTAATAATGGTATCTTCCTAGAATATTACTAAAATGAGTTGGCTAAAGACAACTTCTCTAATAGAACAATATTGTACCTTATACTTGTAGCAAACTAGGCAACTAGCAATGATCACAAACGTCCAAGTAAAGTGATCTTTTAACTCATTGGTGTTTAAAAATGTTGACTTAGTTTAATTTATCTCCAAGTTAATTCATAATTTTCCAATGTAATTTAACTTGACACAATTTGTTCATTCAATCTAAAATAATTTGACCAAACTTTAAATGTTAGTTTTGTACATCATTTTATATTAACTTTTTTGATATAAAATATAGTATTATCGTGTAACAATGTATCACAATAGTAGATGTAGACTTGAGCTACATTTTATCCCCTATGTTTAATACTTAATTTATACGTAGTATATATTACAAGAGATTTATAGCTTATTCTTTATTACTTGATGTAGGGATTCTTAATTTAATTACAAATGTGTTTCATGGAGGATTTTTGGGTGGTCAACACTAAGGTTTGATCATATTAAAGTTTGACTTGTCTCTTTTATTAAAATAAATTTCAAGTGTTCTTTGAATTTGTCATTAAATAGTGGTTGAAGCATAAAGAGTAGCCTAGTTGAGGCCCAAGGAGTAGTTAGTGAAGAAAGTTTTCTTCTTTTATCCTCCTAGATAGGTAAATTTGTCTTGAAGGGTTGAGCGAAACTTATTTAGCAACATCGTAAGTAAAAAGCATTTCTTCATCCTTATATATTGACTGAGACTACCCTATGGGGTTAGGTAAAGCTATCTGCTATTGAGTTCATAGAAATTTTTTGAGATTCTGATTCATGCCCAATAGAGAAACTTCACACGATTGAATTGGGCAGGTGAAACTTGGGTACAAATTCCTCAACCTTTTCTAATATTTAAGTGAATTATATTTGATCTTAATTGCATTGTTCAATTGGGATCCATGGGGTATTTGTCTAAGATAACTACTAACTAGGGTATTGTTAGTCATCTATAAAAGGTAGGGGTGAAAGTAATTCGGATTAAAACCGAACCGAACCGAAACCAAACCGAATTAGTAATTCGGTTTGTATTTTTTAAGAATTCGGATTGGATCGGATCGGAAAAATTAAAAAATATGGCTTACGGATTGGATTCGGTTTGGGGTTTAAAAAAACCGAAAACCGAATTACAAACCGAATTTCGACCCAATATATACTTTAAGCCCAATTTTTTTTTCAAAGTATCCAACCACTTTCCCCTTTCATATATAAACTTAAAAAAAGAACCTAATTCTCAATTCTCCTTTCTCAATATCTTACTCTCTCATAAAGAATGTAGTTAACAAGAAATGATTGTAGGAATTTTCAGGGTGAAGTTCGAGTTTCGGATTTGAATGTTGCAAAAGAAGGGAACAAATTTTGGTTTGGATTGGATTCTAATTTGATAATTCGGTTTGGATGGATTGGATTGAATCTTAATTCGGTTTGGATTCGGATTGAGATTTCCAAAACCGAATTAATTCGGATTGGATTCGATTTTAGCTATAATCCAAACCGCAAACCGAACTTTCACCCCTAATAAAAGGGAGAGAAACACTTTGTAATCACAACTTTTGTTAATATCATTATATGATAATTTCTTCTGTTATTGAATGTTTTCTAACGTTCTAGTAATAGTGATTGTATCAATCTTATCAAAAAAAATTTTGTTGTATGAAGATAGAAAACACCTGATTCATTAATCTTTGTGATTAATGAGTTAAAATTTATATAATTTTTTTTATTACAATAGTTTGATTTTCCCAAAAAAATAAATCCCGGCCCAAATCCTTTTTATAAGAATATCACTCTTGAAAAGTGAGAATCTTCATGAAATATTAAGTGATTTGTCCATAATTATACGCCATTTAACTATTTATCTATATAATCAACTTGTAGTCATATATGCCCTATAAATTAAAAACGTTCTGAGGTCAACAAATTTTTTTTCTACAACAAGTTACTCTTGATCTACAAAAGGAACTTCAATTTTAGTAGAGATAGATCTCTAGTTCATAAAAAATATCCCATCCACAAATTCTTGATGATCCACCTTATCGAATCTCATAGAAATCCAATTTCCATGATTTTGTTTTCAATGCAAGTAGACAAAAACTTCTACATCAAAATCGAGTAAAATTGTAAAAGGAGAAAATTTACTAAAAAAGAAAGGAAAAGAGGTTAAGTTAAAAGTTTATGAAACAAACTAATTAAAATACAAAGCATCTAGATTTGTATGGAATGGGTGTAGCACATCAATGATTAAATCACCTCACTCCCTCAAGTCAACCCCACTATTACTTACAAAATACCATTTGTACATGTTTAAAATATAGGGTATGAACGTGTTCAGCGCTAGCTTTTGAGTAGCTTTTAGGTAGCTTTTAGTGGTTTGACCAAGTCAAATCACTACTTGACAAAAAATTGGGTGTTTGGCAAAGTAGTGGTTAAGATAGTTTTTAGTGATGGAGCAATCTTTTATAAAAAGTTAGGAAGATTCGCTTTTGAAATTGGAGGTAGCTTTTGAGGTAGCTGTTGAAAATTTAATCTATAGTTTTAAAAATAAAATGTTGATTTTTATATATAACAGCTAGTCAACCGCTAATTTACCGAACACTTATATGTAAATTATTTATCTTCACAGCTAACAGCTTGTTGACAGCTAACAGTTACATACACAGTTCACAGCTACCTCCATTGCTACAGCTACCTTCACAGCTATATTTTACCGAACATGCCTTATAACAAGCTAATGCTACAAATAAAAAGTGGAGAAGGAAAAATATGTGGAGAAATCATATACTACTCCCTGCGTTTTTAAATACTTGCTCCACTTTCTATTTGCGGCCGTTTTTTAATACTTGCTCCATTTCCTTATTTGGAAAGCTTTTACAATAGTGGTCCCAACATATGTTCTCTCTCCTCCAATTCTCTCCATTACTTTTGTCTTCTATAATTTTTTATTCTTCCACCAACTCCACTACCTCCATATTTTATCACTTTCTCCAATTTCTCATAAAACTCTGTGCATGGAGAAATGAAGCAAGTATTTAAAAACGGAGGGATTACCTCCTTACAGGTTATGTGCAACGATTTGAAAAAAAAAACAGAGAGGGAAAATGTCTAATCATTGCACATAATATGTAACGGAGATAGTATATGATTTAGAGATATTATACTATGGGATGTTGCGGAAAAAAAACTATTTTAAAAATGACATTTAGCCTATCCAAAGTGTAAAATGTTGTGGTCAATATCTTCCTCAAAATTAGAATCTTTCCCAAAATCCCAAACACTCATGTAGTTAAGGTTGATGGATTGAAGTCATACAATTAAGATTTGCTCAAACTTGTAATTATATTTAATACCTATTCTAGAAGAATAATAAAATACAACATCATGTATTCATGTGTCCTTTCTTAATAGGATAGCTTTAGAACCTGTTCACATTTACTGAATTGAGCTAAACTGAACTGAACTGATTGGAGCTGAACTGAACTGAACTGATTGGAGCTGAACTGAACTGAACTGAACTGAACTAAGCTGAAATGAATATTTTATGAGAGAGGGAAATTAAGAGTTGAACTGAACTGAACTGAACTGATTGGAGCTGAACTGAACTGAACTGAACTGAACTGATTGGAGCTGAACTGAACTGAACTAAACTCAAATTAAGTAAATGTGAACAGACCCTTATACTAGAGATTTAACCTAAAAAGGATGTTACAAGTCTCATAAATATAACAATCAAATGAGAATATCAAATGAATACAGTAGTTAGTAACCTCCTATTAAAATGGACTAGCAACCATTATATTTTCATAAAACACCATCAATTTGGGGGTTTCAAGAAGTTGTTTGTTTAATGCAGTTCAAAACAACAAAGACAATTCCAAGAAAAACTTTAATAAGGCTTTGAAGCCATTAATCCAACATCCATCCGTCCCTAATTGCTTATATTTTAGACTATCCACAGAGCTTATTTTGATCATTTTTTTAAATTTTTTTTTATGAAAGCGAAAGTTAGCAAGTATGATGTTGTTGGATCTATTTAAACTTTTCTCATTATATAATTTTAACCCATCTCTAATTATAGCTGAGTAAAAAACCATAAAATTTGATAATGTGAAATATAAAATGAGGTGAATGTAACAAGATATGAATTAAAAAATATATCATTTTAAATATTGATAATTAAAGATATGAATTAACAAATATATCATTTTATAATTCCGAGAAAGATATCTATTTGATATTATAATATAACCACTTTTTAATAACTTTTCACCACAACACTCCAAAACTCTATCTTTGCAAAATCCCATCTTTATTTTTTTTATTTTTTTTTATTTTTTAAAATATATAACCAATAACTATTCATTTCACCTAATATAAAAAATAACCTATTCTATCACATTTTTTTAATTTTAAAATCCCAATATTACAAGTTACAGAGAATATATCCCGTGCTTATTACACGGTCACATAGTGTACATTCTAGTTGTATAAAATTTTAGGCAACCGTATGAACGATCTTAATCCTACGAGGCACTACGGAGGGTTGGTGGACTCTATCATATGGTAGAAATTAGCCAACATTTATTGATATATACGTGTATATTATAAAGTAGAAAATAGTCCATATTAATCAAAACTCAAAAGAGGTGTTACATCAATAATAACTTCCAATAACACAGTCCACCCAGCCACGAGGTCCATGTGACGTGAACGCGGTAACAATTAAAACAAATTAGTTAGATTGAAACTAGCACGTAGTGATTAATTAATTAATAATGAATTTGTGAGTTAATAATTCTACCATTTTTTTTCGTGTGGTAAGCCATAGTGCGGGGAAAGCTGATACACACTAAAATACTAAATTAATAGTGAGTAAATCTTGATCGAGAAACCCTGACCACATCGTGTAGTCAGTTATACTAGTATTATATTTTAATCAAACACGCATGTTAACTAATTATAAATGACAAAAGCTAATGAGCGTCCCCGGGGCGTTAGATAAGAGAATTAAAGTGCAAATATTAGAGTAAAATTAACATTAATTAGCAAGATCGTTATAAAATTATAGGAAAATTGATATTATAAAAGTGTATATAATAACAAATGCAACAATGTATTAAATAATAATATATATTTCTTAATATTAGTAAATTAATCAAGTTAAATCATTATGTGAATAGTGAAAAAACTTAATCTGTAATATTATTTTTTTGAGAAAATCTATAATCATTGTTAAAACACGGAAGGAGCATGTGAAAATTTGTGATAATTCTTATACGAAAAATCATTAAAAAAAAAAAAAACCGGAGGACAAAATCGTCAACAAAATAAAGAAAAGTTTTTTTCTTAATTGTGTATTTTGTGTTCTTGTATATATATATATATCACGCAGCCGGTAGGCAATACACACAGAAAATACAGGGGAAAAAAAAACGTACGTTTTCTCTTTATTGTGTTCTTGAATCTAGTATGCTCTGAAATTCTCCATTGAAGTGGCTTTTCAGCTTTCTCTCCTCCATTGAAGCAGCTTCTAAGGTTTGATTATTTATATTTTATTTCTATTTTTTTGTTTTGGTTTTTTAATCGTCGAATTCCAATTTTACAATCTAGTGTTAAATCGATGATTTTGTTTGATTTAGGGTTCTTCTAAGGTCGATTGAATATTGAACTTTTTGTTATAATTTGATTACTAAGAATTTTAACGTGGAATTTCGTTGCTAGAATTTTGATTTGATTATTGAGTCTGGTTGATAATGTGTTGTATGGTTGGTTGTTATATGTTAGACTGGAGTATGAAAATTGAATTTTTATCGCCGGATCTGAGGATTTGAATGTTTGATCAATTTTGGTTTTCGATTTTTTTTGTTCGTGTTTATTTTCGAATTATTGATTCTGTGGATTTCAGTGAATGTTAGGCTTGTTAATTTCTAAGTTGCACCTGGGATCATGTGCTTTGATGTGATATGGTGAACAAGTAAATAAATTTCTGTTTGGACTGCTGTCACTAAGGCTGTGTAATTTCCGATCTCAGATCACGGAAAAATTGCGATCTGTATCCGATCTGCGGATTGGATCACAGTTTCATTGGGGTTTTGGATCGGATCACCAGATTTTTTGAGAAAATTCAACCTGTAACCGACCCAAAACCCCGAATTTTTCTAGGATTTTGGAAAATTATGTTTGGATCACCGGGTTTTCAGATTGGGTGAGATGGATCGGATATTGTTGCACAGCCCTGGTACTAGTTGTCACATTATGTGGGAGTGTGTGCTATGAGTGTGCATCTTGTGGGGTTTTGAGATTAGCTATGCTTGTGTAGGTTGTGTATGATATGAGTAGGATCTGACTTATTTCATGGTTGTGATTTGTTTGTTGTAGAAGGTGGTGCAATCATGTCTTCATACACCCCAAAGAATATTCTTATTACTGGTGCTGCTGGATTCATTGCGTGTCATGTGGCAAACCGACTCATTAGGAGTTACCCTGATTACAAGATTGTCGTTCTTGACAAGCTTGATTACTGCTCAAACCTTAAAAATTTACGTCCTTCTCAATCATCCCCTAATTTTAAGTTTGTCAAAGGGGACATTGCTAGTGCCGACCTTGTAAACTACCTTCTCATCACCGAGTCCATTGATACTATTATGCACTTTGCTGCACAAACCCATGTTGACAATTCTTTTGGTAATAGCTTTGAGTTCACCAAGAACAACATTTATGGGACCCATGTCCTCCTAGAAGCCTGTAAGGTCACCGGGCAAATTAGGAGATTCATCCATGTTAGTACTGATGAGGTTTACGGGGAGACAGATGAGGATGCTGTTGTGGGTAATCATGAAGCTTCTCAGCTTCTTCCAACAAATCCATACTCTGCTACAAAAGCTGGTGCTGAGATGCTTGTCATGGCTTATGGCAGATCATATGGTTTGCCAGTTATTACTACCCGTGGAAACAATGTGTATGGCCCTAACCAGTTTCCTGAGAAATTGATCCCAAAGTTCATTCTTTTGGCCATGAGAGGGAAGCCTCTTCCAATTCACGGAGATGGATCTAATGTGAGAAGCTATCTCTACTGTGAGGATGTTGCAGAGGCCTTTGAGGTCATTCTCCACAGGGGAGAGGTTGGCCACGTGTACAACATTGGAACCAAAAAGGAGAGGAGAGTCATTGATGTGGCCACAGATGTATGCAAACTGTTCTCGATGGATCCAGATGCAAGCATCAAGTTTGTTGAGAACAGGCCGTTTAATGACCAGAGGTACTTCCTTGATGATGAGAAATTGAAGATCTTAGGGTGGTCAGAGCGCACCACTTGGGAGGAGGGTTTGAGGAAGACAATGGAGTGGTATACCAGTAACCCCGATTGGTGGGGTGATGTCTCAGGAGCATTGCTTCCTCACCCAAGGATGCTGATGATGCCTGGTGGGATCGAGAGGCATTTTGAAGAAGCAGACAATGAGAATGCTGCTTCTTCTGAATTTTCCAACACCCAGTCTAAAATGGTGGTACCCCCTACCAAAAGTGTCAGTTCTCCTCGTAAGCCATCTTTCAAGTTCCTGATCTATGGTAGAACTGGGTGGATTGGTGGTCTTCTTGGCCAGTTGTGTGAGAAGCAAGGTATTACATTTGAGTATGGAAAGGGCCGTTTGGAGAACCGAGCATCACTTATTGCTGATATCCAGAATGTCAAGCCTACTCATGTCTTTAATGCTGCTGGTGTGACTGGTAGGCCGAACGTTGACTGGTGTGAATCTCACAAAGCAGAGACAATTCGCGCCAATGTTGCTGGTACTTTGACTTTGGCTGATGTCTGCAGAGAGCATGGGCTTTTGATGATGAATTTTGCTACTGGTTGCATCTTTGAGTATGATGCTGCACATCCTTTGGGTTCTGGGATTGGCTTCAAGGAAGAGGATACACCAAACTTCACTGGTTCTTTCTACTCAAAGACCAAGGCTATGGTATTATTTCCGTGTCCCTTTCTCTTACACCCATCCCTTTCAATGCATGTTTCTTTTGTTGACTTGTAACTAATACTTGAAGTGCTATCTTAGTGTACTAACTTATCATTATATCCGACTTATTTTTTATCAGGTGGAGGAGCTTTTGAAAGAGTTTGATAATGTGTGCACCCTTAGGGTCCGAATGCCCATTTCTTCTGACCTCAACAACCCACGAAACTTCATCACAAAGATCTCTCGCTACAGTAAGGTGGTTGACATTCCCAACAGCATGACTGTTTTGGACGAGCTTCTACCCATTTCCATTGAGATGGCAAAGAGGAATCTCAAGGGCATCTACAACTTCACAAACCCAGGGGTGGTTAGCCACAATGAGATTCTCGAGATGTACAAGAATTACATGGACCCAGAATTCAAGTGGGCGAATTTCACACTTGAAGAGCAAGCCAAGGTTATTGTTGCTCCAAGAAGCAATAATGAGATGGACGCCTCCAAATTGAAAAAGGAATTCCCTGAATTGCTGCATATTAAGGACTCACTAATCAAGTATGTTTTCGAGCCAAACAAGAAGACAAACTATTCTGCTTGAGCGAACTTTTCTGCAGAATTAAGAGATGCTGTAGTAAGCAGGATTGCAATTTTTTTCCAGTAGGCATTGCGGTTGCATAGCGTTACTCCATTGGGTCTTGGGCAAAACATTCATTTATTTTAGCTTCATATTGTGCTGTTTTTATATACCTAGATTGCCTGTTCTTAGAGTTATTAGGTTATTACATTTCCATCTTTTACCTTTTTTATGTCTTCTGTTTAAACGTGATTACACTTCCTCTTCCCATTCCAGGGAATTTGAAAAGAGATAGTAGCTTGTTACATATAACAGTTCTGTTATTTGCTCACCCATTTGTAATTTTCATATTATTTATTTATTGTCAAATTGTTTTTAAACTCGCTTAATTGTTTAGATTGTCTTTACGTTCTTTCTCTGTTAAACTGTATTTCAACCATAATAGCGCGTGTATTTGAAATTTTATACACTTCTGTGTACTTTGTATTAGCCTTTCCTGACCAGCCCAATAACCAGGTCTAAATACCAATTTTGAAGTATCAGCATTTGTCGAGGCTAAACTGTTTTTCACCTGTCAAAGCATAGCTCGACTACTGAAAGGGACTTATTTTCTGCATTGATTTGCAATGTTGCTTGTTCTATTTTTCACAATGTAGTCATCTAAAATTACCACCTCCATGACTTCCGAAGATGGAGCTGTTCTTTTAGTATCGATACACCCTCTTCCTCGTATCTTTTAGACTTTTAGTATCGATACACCCTCTTCCTCGTATCAACCTTTAATTGTTATTCCAGTAGCTCTTTTGTTCAACTTATCTATTTAAGGTATTCTTGTTTTAATCACTTTATTTTATTTTACTTTTGATGAACCTTTTTCACTATCTTACTTCATCATTTATTATAATTACATCTTTTTGTACTCTTTCTCTTAACTCATTTTATTAAGTTTAAATCGGTTTAATCAATGTATATATTCTTAAATTTATTATTTTTTAACTTCTTTTGTGTAGCCTTTAAAGCTATACTTCAGTATTGGTATCAGTTTTCTTAGAAATAAAAGGATTTAAGAGAAGAAAAAACATGTCATCATTAAGGCTACACAATAATGAAAAGTGTTACCGGTACTAAATATAGCTTTAAAACCATTAGAAGAGAATAATAATTTAGAAAGTGTCACTAAGAAAAATAAATAAAAAATTGATTATGAAAAGTGTCACTTGAAATATGGAGGGAGTATATCAAACATTAATACTAATTTAAATATGAAAATGAAATAATGATACAATAATGATCTTTTATTTTTATGTGGGCATGATATAATAATGGTCTATTTTTTTTTTTTTTCAATATTGGTCTAGTGTATTTGTTAGTATAAATATTTTATTTGGTGTTTCACCCGGTTTACCCTTGGGACTAATCCGGATTTGGGTATCAATTTAGGTGGTTAGGTTCCAGCCCCCTCCCAATTGTTTATTTGTTACTTGTTAGTATATCGGAAGTCATGCTTTCTTTTTTAGTATTAAATTGAGAATTTATCGATAGTTTACTAGTAAATTAGTGCAATAAATGTTTATTTATTGTCTATTATTTCAACTTTTAGCTTCTTATATGTAGCCTTAGGGCTAATAGCTGCATATATCATTTTCCTTTAATTAATATCAGTTTTTAATCAAAAGGAAAAAAATTTGTAAAAAAAAAAAAAAACCCAAAAAAACGTGTATCAGTATAAAATTTTATAACAAAATCGTGCATAATTTGATATAATTAACATTAATTAAACTTAGTTTTAACCTGTTATATATGGAACCCTAAGGATTGTAGGTAGTATATACCATTATATATATGAAAGTCGTAAAAAAATTGTATGGAACTACAACTCCACCTTCCCCATATTTTACGGATCAATAATCCTAAAACGACATTTTTTGTCAACTACCTTGTGAATACGCATGCGACCCACTAACTAAATCAAACCAGTCTTGTAGAGAAGTAGGAATATCATCATAAACACATGACAACATAACATGCATGTAAGAAATTCTTTTCACTAGATTAAAAAATAAATCTTTTTTGTCGGGAAACAATTATATGATCATTAAAAAGAAAAAATTATTTTCTCTTGCTAACATGCTATGATTAAATATTTAGCATAAATATTATAAAAAAAAATAATGAAATTACCCTGAATTCTGTTGGTGATATTCAATCAATCAATCAAAGCCATAATCCGTGTAGTCATCAACAAAAATCTTCCTCCCCCATCCCTTACGATCCAATGCTTCATCATCATGCACCTTTTTTCACATGTGACAACTTTTTTCGAATATTTCAAAATAATTTATATGAAGATGTTGCAAGAAATGAATCAAATTATACTACTAATCTTGTAAATTCCTTTGATTGATTAATATTGCTACTACATGTTAGTATAATTACACTACAACATATTGTATATCAAAGAATGCAATCACAAACTGTTTCAGGCTTGAAGATCTCTATCAACTATGCCAGTTCATCTGATTGCTCGTTTATGAGAGAGCATTACAAATATATACAGTACTACTCATTTAGATTAGTACAAAGCCGTAACAATCCGGCTAATTGAAGCTTTACAGCAATCGCAGACTAACACTTTTCTTCTGCCATTTGAATCTGTAAGATGATTATTCGAAAATCCTGAGTAATAAAATCAGTTAGCAACTAGCACAGTCTGAATTGCTCATATCAGACATGCTTTGTACTACGCTGTACAACTATTCTGGTTATTCACGATGCCTATAGGTAGCAAGAATTAACGATGCTATAAAAGAATTGAGACTAGGGTATAAGTTCAGGATTATAAACTTGATGACACAGACATATATGCTTCAGCTAATTTTGTTAAAAATGAGACGACTTCATCTGAAGATCCTACAGTGTAACGAGCGCACGTACGAGTTCTCCCAACAGCACAGGAGAAATAGTTATCTTTCTTAAGGTCCAGTATGTTCCAGATGGTCTTCTCTGATGATTGCTTCTGTGAGAACCCACCATTGCCATTATTTGTCATCTCCTCTGAGTTTGAGGTTGAATGTTGGGTCTTTCCATGTGATGCTTTTGATCCACCAGGAGAAATTGGTGATGGCCATTCAGGAAATTGGTGGCTGTCATTGTCATTGGGAAGCTCTGGCTCAAAAAATGTGTATACATCTTCATCCTGGACACATAATGTCAAATTCAATAAAAAATCAACAACTAGTAGAACAAAATACATGAGCACAGGGTTCAATCAAGTAAAATGCAAGTGAAGACTCTAAACAAAGTCGTAGTAAGACTAATTCTGTGCAACTCATCTATCAGCCAGTTGCATGGAAACATAGTTGTTTCATACGTAGTATGGGATAACAGGGTGTACACAACTAAAATTTTAGTCTTTTTTTTTTTTTTTTTTTTTGAGGAAACTTTTTAGTCTTCAGCATGCATGTAAAGAGGAAAATGACAGAATATGATAATTGGTAGCCTATTGGAGGGAAGCAATCGGAACAACATTACAGAATGGAAATAAGAAGACTTGTAACAGATGAGATATGGAAAGGTCAAATACTAAGATGAACAGTTATACATTTTTAATGAATTGATGATGGATGTCCTTGAGTTATGATTTAAAATGACACTCAGAATTGGCTTAATTGTCGGGCTGATCTGAGTCAGTATAAATGACCTAGATGAAATATCCAGTACAATGAAACATATACCCATTGGCAACACAGTTTCTCCACCTCAAGTTTAACTACTTTATCCTATAGGAAAAGCAATCATGCTAGCAACAATCATATCATATCTATATTTGCAGACTAGGGCTGATTAATAAACGAAGTTTTGAGAAGAAAAACATAAAAAAGAAATGATTCTATACCAATAATAAGTGAGGTGTTGATGAGAGGTTCCTTAGTGAATGGGCAACCAAGTTTAACCGTGAACTATTCTTGTAGTACCCAAATACAGTTTTACATGAAAGAATATGGTAAGCTAGAGAATGGAGGGAGTTAAAACAATAAATAAGAGCGCTCCAAAAGTCCATCCTTAGCGGTTGGAAGGAGAGGTGGAATAGTGAGGAATAGAAGGATATATGTACTCATATTAAATCAAAATATTGCAGTGACAAGAAATGAGCTAAAGTTTGTCATAAAAACTTAGGATAAGAAAAATATAAGAAATGAAGTGAATTTTTTTTGAGATCAGAGATAAAGTCAGTGGCAATTGCAATGGCCTCAAAAATATTAGAATATAACTTCTCAATATGATTTATGTTTTTAATATAGTAGTATCTTTTTTCTTCCCTCTTCTGAAGTATTTAAGACACTTTATTCAGTCTTTATGCATTTTGAAACCTAAGCATGTTGAAACCTAAACTTTCTATAAAGAAACATCAGTGTGTATTGAATGGCGATTAAAAGCATTGGTTTGCTATTAGACATGAAGGATCAAATAAGGGCATTTAAACTTCACCGACCTATCATACAAAGGGTAACAAGGTCAATGCAAGTACTAATCAGCTAATGAAATTTAAAGTAAGAATGAATCATGCTTTAAATAAGCTTACAATAGACTAAGAACATCCATGGTGGGTTCTTAAAGGTCAATGCCTTTGACTTGATGCTGATATAAACAGTAACAGATAAAATAGATACGAGAATATAATTTCTCAACTTGTTCCCATAAATATTTCAAACCTCAGATAGTGACACCCCATGAGTTCTTTGATCATTGGCTTTAAACTAGTTAATCATTTACTTAAAATAAAGAGTACCAAATCAATTAACAAATATACTTATATATTTGGCACTGAACATTGTGGCTTTTCTTAGACATCTAAATTTTAAATGACCACTAAAATTATTCATATAAATCAACTCAATCCTGCTATCAATACTCAGTATAGAATAGATTAAACATCAGATCTTATCACACTCATCTTGTTCTGCTGCTTGAAAAGCATACAGCACCAAGTAGGATCTCTTGGACAAAGATAGGGTTTAATGAAGGAGATGTTAGGACCCAACAAAAAATAAATAATTCAATTACATACTTACATTTATTTCCCTCAGCTAAAGCAATCAAGCAAAATGCTGGGATCAAAGATTTGGAATATACCTTCTCCAAAAAATGACCAATGCATATGACATAATCAATTGGTGATTTTAATGGTTTGCTGTGCACTATCTCCCCTAGTATGAGATCAATAGCAGAGCCCTGCATTCAGAAGCACAAATGGAAAAAATTAACATGTAAAACACCTTCCCACAAATGAAGATCAATAAAGCAATGTAAATAAAATTTAAAGAGAAGAAAATTCACCTTTGTAATACCTACTGGTCGAACCTCAACAGACGTACTACCTGGCACAACTTCTACAGGTGTATTTGAAATAGGGCCAGTCCAAAGATGCTGCAACATATCTCTTGCTTGCAATTTTCCAAACTCGATATCTGCAGAACCCAAATCAAAATATACATGACAAAGAAACATAGATTTATGGAGTCACGAAGCTAAATACGCCATGAAACATACCAGCATACTTATAATTCCATACAACGGAAATGTCACGAAGCTCAATAGTTGAACGAGGAGTTCTTTCCTTGAAATACTCAAATATATGCTGCACAAAATCAAATCAAGACATTGACTATAGAAAGTAGATCATAATTAAAAACAAATATCGCTCAGAGAACTTGGTGAAACTTTCATTTATGAGGTAGGGACAAGAGATGTACATATACACTGGGAACCCAATCCAAATTCAAAAGTTCAGGCATTGTCGTCTTCCAATCTCCTCTTGTATGCCGTAAGAACATTCCATGTTCTGCTGCCAACCACATGTCATACTCCCCAAAGTTCTAGACAAATAAGATCAAAAACAGAAACTATACATGTTAAAACCAAACACCATGTCCAATCTCATGTCTAAAATGATATGACAACTTGTTACTCAAACAATAGCAAAATAACAGAGGTGACTCTAATTGAACCACAAAGCATATCAAAGAAGCAGAAAAATTGTTTAAAACAAGGAAAGAAAAGAAAAGCATAGGACAGGTTAATACATTAAATAAATCAATTCTGCGACTTCCACTAAGAATAACAATTGTTGAATTTGAGTCATTGCAGAGAACACTCAGAGGTCCTTTCAGCTCTGGATTCAATTTAGAGTTCATGTCTTTCACTTGGTCTCCACCCCTTCTACCAGAACTATTAATTGGTTCAGTCAAAGCAGCATTGAATCCCTGTAATCCAGAAGACATGTTAGTAAAGACAGATGTAATAGTTCAATGAAAATTATCAAACAAATGTTAACATCCACTGGTTGTGGAAGAAGTGGACTGTTAAAAGACAAACCTCTCTAAAAACAGAACATTAACAACCAAAAACAAATCCCAAAGACTCAAAAGATACATAGACTAATTAATTCAACATCAACATGTAAAATCAAAGGAAAAGCATTCTGAGAACATGACAGTTAAAGATTGAATAGCAACATTGGATACCATGACGGCAGACCAATTTCTTGGTTGTATCAACCGACTTAAGTAAAAATTGATACACTGATTACTAAAAGAGGTCAATGGTGGTATCTTTTTGCAGATAGAGAATAGGAACCTGAAATCTGATAATGATGGAGATTACCCACAACGTTTTCATACAACTGAAAATATGCAATATGACAATTATAGTAAAGCTGTAACTTTATAAGCAATACGCCCCAATTCTAGTTTGATTCAGTTCACCACAAAATACTCCAGCTTTAAAATTACCCTAATTCTAGGCCCTTAACTAAGAAGTTTCTTGCTGGGCCAGTCAGGATCCAAAATTGCAACACTTGAGTTGATTAATACATACACTAGGAAGGCACCTCTAATTGATATAAGAAAAAGTAGAGAGCTTAAATTAATCTCCGAAGGAAGTAAAGTATTTTCCAGTTAAGTCCATTTTGGTAGGTGGGAGTTGAAATTAATAATAATTAGAATAATAAAAATAAAAATCTGCATTAAACTCTAATAATTGTTAGATAAAAGAAAGCTGTAGCTAGCGGCATATCTTTGTATTCACATACCAACATATAAACACATGGGTTTTGCTTTTATATAGGGGAAAATATATGGATTGATGAGGTTGTATTGAGTTAGTTAAGGATACAAATATGATTCTTTCAGCTATTTACCTCCCTTGGAGAATATACATAATGGATTTTAAAGTGATTTTTTTTAATAGACAAATGGCCAGTTAAAGAAATAAGCTAAGCTTAATAGGTTAAGGGAGACAAGAGCAGCAAAAATTGACATAAAATTCAACTCTATATATTTTTATGCAAATGGTTACAATGTAGGAACTATAATCAAATCAGGGCATAAAGCTTGGACCTAACTTGCACATATTGAAGCTCATATCGAAGCTACAGCACGGAGGTACAGCTCATACATGGATATTAAGACTAGCACAGCACACAAAGATTTATAGTTTTGAACATTGATTCAGCTTTTTTGAAAGAATTGGTATAGACCATGAAGCAAACTATAAAAAATAACAATAAGCAGCAAAATCAAAATATAAGAATTACATAAATTTGCATGCAAAGTTGCAGCTAATTAAGCGTAAAGGAAGGAGAACACATAAGGAAAGTTATACAATACCAATATGAGCAGTCGGTTGCTACAATTCAGGAAATTGTTCACTGCTGAGTGAACTGGAAGTACAGGGCGGATTTGATTTATTCTCAGTTGAGCCTCAACTGTTACATTCAGCTCGCTACAAAACGAAGCAACAATTAAATTGATAAACAACCAAGTCAGAATTTTAGGCAAGCCTAACTTCCCAAACTTCTTCTGTTTACTGCTGAAAGGAAGGAGAACAGAGAGAAAGGACAAGCTGTCCATTAAGTACAAACCATGTTACAGACATCATTGTAACAGTTTGGTGCTCTGAATCTTTCTCATCAGTGTATCAGCTAGGTGCTATTTAGTAGGTCTTGTTTCAAGGTCTCATCTTATTATTCTCCATTATAATTTAATTAAAAAACAAAGAATTACACTCATCATTGCATCAGCTCGGTGATATTTAGTAGGTCTTATTTGAAGTTTCTTCCTATTATTTCCCATTATAATTTCATTTAAAAGAACCTTTTACATCTCTCTCTCTCTCTCTCTCTACACACACACACACACACACACACACCAAATCTTGACATTCAGGTGGCCATTGTTTCATAGGTTGTTGGGGCAGGGCTTCGATCATGTTGGGTGTCATTTCAATGGGTAAAGGAGATAGAGGTGACAGGGGGTTGTTGACGGTAAGACTTGCGGGGTTTTGGTGGTGTTTGTTGTGTTATGTGGGAGATGGGAGTTTGTGGGTGGTGGCATAAAAACTAGGATGTGGATTGAGGTCGTGGTAATGGGTAGTATTTGTGTATGTGTGTGTGTGTGTGTGTGTGTGTGTGAGAGAGAGAGAGAGAGAGAGAGAGAGAGAGAGAGAGAGAGAGAGATTTGTGGGTGGTGGCATAAAAACTAGGATGTGGATTGAGGTCATGGTAATGGGTAGTAGTTGTGGGTGTGTGTGTGTGTGTGAGAGAGAGAGAGAGAGAGAATTGGTGGCTGCATTTCTGCTTTTGTAAAATAAAAAAATAAAAAAAAATAAATAAATAAATAAAATAAATAAATAAATAAATAAATAAATAAAAACAATTCAAAATGCCAAAAATTTACAGTTTTGTGTGGAAAAGGTTTGTGGGGGCATTTAGATGGAATAGTGTTTAGGGAAAATTAGTTTTCATATATTTTTAGATAAGGAAAGATCCACTTAGGTTTTATTTCTGAATAAAAAGTCTTATGTTTCATACATGATTCATTAATTCTCGACAATTTGACATCAGCTCAAGAATGTTTGTTTCAGGTGGCACAGGTGCAATAAGTTCCACAAAATAGGGAAGGTACATTAGCTAGCCAGAATGCAGCATTTTTCAAAGAAGTCTGTTTGAGAACGATATTTTAATTACCAGGGAAACAAAAAGTATTTTTTTGAACAACCAAAAATTTCATAATTACCTCATATCTGGAATAACTGTGAAGTTATGTTATCCTTACACAATCCTACTGTGCCAATTTTTAAAAGTGTCTTATGCATGTATTTCATACAGTGAATGGATTTGATGTCCATGGAAATTTAACACAAGTAATAAACTAGAAAGAATAACCAGAAAAATGAATCTATATTCACATACCTTACAATAAATTCAGCCCACTCCTGAGCAGTATGCTCTGTAACATATGAAAAGTTAATTTGGTGCCTATTTGTTCTCTCTTCATCTGACATATTTAAGGCTTTACCAATTGCATCAGCTACCTCTGTGATATTCCATGGGTTTACCAAAAGAGCGCCAGCTCCTAAAGATTGTGCAGCACCAGCAAACTATCCACATAAAAAATTATGTTACACTCAGCCACTAAGGACAAGAAAAAGGAAAATATAACTTTGGGAACAACCTATCAAGAATTAGGAAACCATTTTTGTCACATTAGCTCGCTAAGCTAAATGGTGAATGACCGCAGATCCACAGCCTACTTTAAAACTCACATCATGCATCACTAAAACACTGTTTACCATAAATGTGCGTGTGTGCATTAGGAGGATGAAAGTACAATTCTGAACTACAGGTACGTAAATTTTTAATTTTCCTACAGTCAATACTATAAATATAGCTACCTGATAAAAATTAAGTATGTGTACAGTTCAAAAATTACGTACCTCAAAAGAAGATGAAGCAGTAATTTAAAAATTATGCATCTTAAGCAGACAAATAATGTACCATGAGTTAAAAAAAAATGTATTGTCCTTCTCAGATCTCACCCTTCTCTTTGTAAGAAATTTCTAATTAGATATTTCCTTGTGTGTGTGAGTCTGATTGGTGATTTAAAATGAATAACAGGCAAGACATGAGTAATACAACAATGAGGCACATATGTAGTGGCCAATTGCAAGATTCATCACCGATAATATCCAAAACTAGACTTATCTCTAGAGAATGTGATTAGATTCCCATCTTCATATGCATATACATGGAATTCAATAAATATTAACAAAAGTAAATAAAATTGAATGGTCTAGTCAAGGTTCAACACCACCCAAATTGTAATGTTCAGAAAATAAGAGATTTACGTAATCATGGTTTGACAACAATTTTTGCTAATATTATCAAATTCGACCTCAGAAGTCAGAAGTGTCCATCCACTTTGTTCCAGTAAAATGAGCTGTCAGGATTCATTTTGGGGCATGATGCATGCATATATATATATATATATATATATATGTATATATATATATATATATATATATATATATATATATATATATCCGTACAAATCTTAAGTCTTACCTCACTAAGAATGAGCACTCCCTTTTTTTCATCTTGGCAAGCCACGAACTCATAGCTGACCAGATTCATGCCATCTCTCAATGAAGTGACCAGTGCCACATCTGTGAAGTGATGGTTATTATAAAAAAATAATGAGTGAACATAAACGTGCAGATAGATGTTACCTGATATACAGTAAACCAAATTTTACAATAGTGCCGTGAGTCTTGTACTTTAGCTACAAAGTATTGGCTTCTCAACCAGATTTTAAAACACAAACACATGAATTCACCTGTGGAACAAAAATTTAAACACCCAAGAAATTAAAATAATTAAGATGTCAGTGATAGACTTATACCAGTCACTGCATATAGAGCACAAAGAGCATGGAAGTCCAGAGAACGATCCTGCAAATAGATCATACACCTACTTCAACTTTGGGTAAAAAACCTAAGAAAAAACTTAAGGCAGAATGATTATATGCCACAGATGTATCCAACAAATCATGCTAACGAGATTTCACAGGGTCACATCCAACAACTGCATTTCAATAATGAGACAAATAGAGAAACGGATGCTTGACTGGATGGACGAGTATTATTTTTTCAAATTAAAATTATGAAATAAGAGACCACAACAAGAAGCTTCATGAGAAAATTGATCTCCATGCACAAAGGTCAAGGAGGTTATTTTAATAATTTTTTTAATTTTTAAATTCACTTTCTTACCTGAACAATATAAATCATAGTGCAGATCCCGTAAGTAGAGGGTTTCATATGCATGAAACTCTAGCACTGGCCACTTAGAACTGGTACAAACATTGTGTTTCAGCAAACATCCAACCCAATATTATGTTTGAGGCCTTGGCTATTACATTCCATGGCCTTGGTGTTGTGTAGTTCAACCTAAAGACCATGGTGGCAATGGTGGATGTCCTGACTGAACAGCTTATACAGACATGTGTGGATGATGAACCCACAAAAGAAAAATCAAGTACCAAAAAAAAGGAACTCCTTAGCTGAAAAGAAAGCTCTTGATTGAACAAGGTCGGCCACTCGGCCCACAGAACAACATGGTCGATGGCCATCTATTGCAATCTCTCTTAGATGTCCATGGTCCATCATTGCTTACAGTTTCAATATGTCAAATGGTCCCCACCCCTAAAAAGAAGCTTATGACAGAACAACAACTTGAGTATAGTTGTGACTTACTGCAACACCCAACCTTTGCCAGCAGAAAACCATATGCCACTAATGCCAGTAATGTCCACATTGACCCCCTATGCAGGAGCACACTAACTCACTGCTAGGTAATTGAGCTTCAGGTTGTACATATTTGTGATCAATAGACTTCTATAAAGAAAGATACATCCTTATCAAATAAGTCTTAAGACGATTTCAGTAGTATCCCTCCAAACCAATGGGGAAGACAGCAAGTAGAAGCGATATCTGAGTTCCAAGATGCAAAGACCAACCTCATTATGACAAGTGATAACATCTGAATGGCTAACCAATATTTAAGTTCTAAAAGATAACAAACCTAAGGTTGCCTATATATACGCCAACATTTGGCATATCACAGTTCCCTTACATGTTAATTGAGGAAATTATCATCATATCACTTTCACAACATTCTCTATTTAATTCCTCTCTGAAATCCTCTTAAACACTTCATGAGAGGGTAGCTCTTATGTGTTACCAAGCAGGGTGTGTTTCACCAAAAAAGAAAAACCAAGCAGGGTGTGTCCATTTGACATATATTTGTATGCTTGTACTCAAATTGTAATCATTCTCCATTCACCAATAGAAGAACTTCCACAGGGTGTTGTCATTGCATCTTTCATTCCGTCCTAAGATATTTGTCCCTCTTGCTGATTTTTTTACAATGGTCATACCCACATCACTTGGATTTACTGAACTTAAAACTTTATCCATTGCAATTCCAAAGTATCCCTCCAAAGTATTACCTACTCATTGATGTCTTCTCAAGTATCATCCAGTAGGCCAATGTCACTTTATCCAATCAGGTAACAACAACAGAACCTAAGCAAGAAGCACTTCTCAATTTTGATCCTTCATCATAGGATAAGTGTAAAAAAACTACAATCAGCATACATGGTGTACAGCACAGACAGAATGAATCATGGGAAAGCATATCAAAGTGATCAACCGAGTTAAGAAACAAGCAGCTTCTTTTTTCTGTCCCATTCCAGTATATTTAGTCTGCAAACATTCGATTTCATTTACAGAAACCAGCACTGTGAAATTTCTATCCTGCCTAACACAACAACATGATTATCACTTACAGGGACTGAAAAATCGACAAAAATCTTCAATCTTCAGTATTATATTGACTACATCATCACCTGGAACCCTCAAATGATATAAATCATAAAGATACATCAAACAATGAGATAAATACTACACAGAAAATTGATATAAACTTTTGACTCCAGATATAGATAAGGCCAAATATTAGCAGAAAAGCAAATATAACCTATTCAGAGCTCTAATTGGAAAATAAATAAAGAAGAAAGAAATATATAAAATAAAATAAAATCTCAACTCCCAATTCTCCCATAGTAACTCAACCAACTTATCTAGAATTATTGAGATTACATGCATTAAGAATCATAGAAAGAGTTTAAAAACAGACCAAATGATATATAGGAACACGCGTATAAGTTCCAAATCTCCCATTTATGCGTCCGACTATTTCATGAACTTGACTTGTAAGTTTTTGATCTGTAAAACGATTATCAAAATAGAGAGTGAAGATTAAAATAAACACCAGGATGTGGAATTGGAGCAATAAAGATAAAGAACATAAACTCGAGCAACTCATGGAATACAAATAACAATCAGACAACATTGCAAAAGTACATCACAAATTGGATATGTCAAATGTGCCAGATATACCTGCATTATATTTAGAAAAAATGGCATCATTTTTGCGATATCACATTGGAAAACAAACAAATCCTAATGCAATGAGATGCAATCTAGTAACATTTAGACCCGGTTATTGGACATGGTAGTCCAATGATAATAGGGTCAGTGCCAAGCTTATACGGCCCTTAATGGACAGGGTCAATATAGGGCCAAAATGTTTGTCCAATTTGATACATACAGAAAATAAATAATGTAAAAAAATTTACATACATATTATCTTATTCATATGTAGTTAATTATGGCTTTGTCCAATATTTATTTAAATTGATATATTGTTGGCCGGTGACCCGCAATGGCCCTATAAAATGTGACCCTTTTTGACCCGACCAGTAATCGACCCGCACTAACCCCGACCCGACCCGCCCAATAACCAGGTCTAGTAACATAATTGTGTCACTGAATTAGTACATAATTTTATTGACCCATTTGTCATCATGTTGAACAAAATTTCAACCAGCATGAGATTCAGCTTTTTTTTTTCTAGAGAAAAAGAGTGATGCAAAAGAATACTTAACAGTAACATTCAATATATGCATGCAATAACATGTCATTTTCTCATTGAACCAAGAACTTAGAAAATTTTATAATGGAGAACCAAGCAAAGTAAATTACATCCCATTATTGTTATTACCCATAAATAATGCCCGCTCTAATATAATATTTCCTCAGTTATTTTACGTACAGTTGTGTGTGTATGTGAAGATATATATGCATATGTACAGTTTATATCATTCTGAGGAGAGGGCAGGTTGTTGGGGCAAGATCTTACATTGTATAACATCCGTTCTAGTTGGAACAGCAATTTGGAGCAAAACAACTCTATCCCGCCAGTAAGGATTTTCTTCCAGAAATTTTTCAAAGGCGAGTATCTTTTGTGGAATTCCTTTAATCATGTCAAGCCGATCAACACCTAGAATTACCTGCCACGCCAAAATTCATACAGCACTAGAATATACAATTGTGTAGCATAGTGATAATATGACAAAATTCAAATAGACGAGTCAGAAGAAAATAATTTAGCAGTAGCATTCCAGATTTCGCACATGATAGGAAAATTAAAGACTCCTATTAAAGAACCATAATGCAATTTAACTCGCTCACCTATTTATTAGAAATATTTTTCGGGAGCTATCTAAAATGTACAAGTTTTGTAAACAATAACTTCATAATTTTTTCAATTACTACTTCCTCTGTTCTTTTTTACTTAACCTTGTTTGACCTTTTCCCTATTAAATTCACATGCCTTTAGAATCGTCTCAATAAATACTATCATTTAATTTTTATATTTTTTTACTTATTGAGGTTTACAGTATGTTTGGATAGAGAAAGAGGAAGGAAAAGAAGGGGAGGGAGGGGAAGGGATGGGAAAGGAAGGGGAGGGGAGGGGAGGGGAGATGAGTTTTCCTTCCAAATCTCTCCATTATTAGAGAGATCAATATCATACAATTTAATCCCTCTCATTTCTCTCCCCTCCGATTCCCTTTCTTCCTCATTTGTCATCCAAATGACAAATAACTCCCTTTCTCTCCCCTCCGATTCCCTTTCTTCCTCATTTGTCATCCAAATGACAAACAACTCCCTTCATTTCCCTTTCCTTCCTTTCCCTCCATTTCCTTCAATCCAAACAAAGTGGATATTGATGGTTAAACTTATAAACTGATTAGTTTGATAAATGAAACAGGTCGAATGAAAAAGTATAGAGGTTTACAGTGTGTGTATAAAATCATGCTTGTAAAATCTAGAATGTACCTATTCATGAAAACCGTAACTGATTCTCTCTAAGGGCTCATTTCAATGTTTTCCCTATTATTAACATATAAATTTACTACATCACCCTATGTTGCTCATACTTGGATTTGGGATCAGATCCTCCGACACTCTAGATATTATAAATTCTCATATATAGCCACTATATATTTGGATGTTGTGTCGTGACAAAGCCAATGTACAACATGCCAACAAAGTGTTGAAGTAACATAGATATTACCCCTTATTAAGAAGGGGCATTAATCGTTCAATCATCCCAAATGGAAGAAAATACTCTTAGAACATAAAAAAAAAAAAAAAAAAAAAAAAAATCTAAATATTGAGAAATTTCCCTAACAGTGGTTAGCTTCATATGGATATTCTTGAATAATACCAAAACACTAAGGACATTGAACAAAACAGAATGTTAACAAGCAGAAAACCCTAGCCCCATTTTCTCATTTTTTTTGCTTGGATGTTTGATGTTGCTCAGCTTTTGTGTATGAAATGGTTTTAATGGTGAACTCAAAATCCAAAATCAGTTGAGACTTGGAGTGGGCCACATGGATGAAATAGTAGTGCTACAAAAACAAAAAGGTTGACAGAGGTAGTTGTGTTAAATAAATAATTAGCTAGTTGATTCCAAAAGGTGAGCTCAAAATAGACAACAGCCTACCTTCTGACCACCAAATCTTTCCACTAATTCCTTAATATTCCCTTGAACTTGAGGAACTTTAAGTGCTCGAATGAAACGATCAGAATCAATCCCGATAGGAAACTGAAAATTATCAACCATGATGCACATAATTCAATTATTAGGAACCAGGAAACAGAAACAAAAAGAAATTTATAAAATGAAACCAAATAATATATATCAGCTAATTCTAAATCAACGAGCTAATCAGAAAAACATATTGCTTGAACATACAGCTACCACACGGGTCAATCTGCCTAGATCATCCTCTACACCTTCAGGTCTGCCTTCAAGTCCAAGAATATGAGTGCAAGAACTGACAAAGTGCCTCGCATAATCATAGGTATGAAAACTGCAAGGAACAACATTGATACTATAGTTAACAAAATTTGAACAGTATTGCAACTTGAAATACTAAATTTTTATAGTTGAAGCACTTAAGTCAATATGTACACATGAGTATCTAGCTGATGACGAGATATAATTCTCTGCTGTCAAAAAAATAAAATAACACACAACTCCAGAAGACCAATTGGTAATATATAACCAACCACCAGACATTTGTAGGAGTGATTCTGTACACACTCAATAGTCAGAACTAATAATATTGGCATGACAACAACTTAACTCTATCACTGAAAATGCAGACGTAAATTCTCCTTTAAGCTAATGAGTATATTAACGGGTCAACAAAATGAACTATTGTTGAACACAGATTTTACATAATTCATAATTTGAATTAGCTTTCATAAAATGATGATAACAAGAAGTCTGGAAACATAACCTGTCACAATGACACTCAAAAACTTTACCAAAATACAGTTTTGCACTGAGCTAGAATAGATCTATGACTAAAATATAGCTATGCAGCAAGCAAAGGAAACCTATCAAGTGAGTGAAGCAGCCATAAGATCATGTATAAAATGCTTACGTCCTCCATAAAATGTTACTCCATACTATACTTGGATTTCACCAATTTTGATATACTAGCAGTGCTGTAATAAATAATTAATACTTCATAATAAATAATGTATTAATTATTACCAAAAAAAAATCACTGCACAATTCAAAGAATGTGATTATCTATTTACTAATTCAAAAAACTACACAGCTTTTCAAACAGAAGCATATACCAACAACAACCCAATAAATAAACAGCACCCAAAAAAAATAATGACCATAAAAAATCGAGCTATATATAGGTCACAATTTCTAGAACAGCTATCCATCCAGTATTCCAATGATTTACTAAACTACATCCTATGAAACATTTAATAACCAGTTACATAACATAGGCACATATTAGATCCCAATCGGCCAATCCTTATGTCAATCACAAGAAAGGGGTTCCAAGACTCCCAAAAACTCTGACAAATTACTAACAAAATCTCCAGCAGAAAGTGTTCATCTAAGGTTGTGCAACTGAGATTCTGATTATGCCATTTGTTCACTCAATCAACATAACAGTATTGATAAACAAAATCTCAATAGATGAAAAGGCAACATTTGAATTACTGGAGAGTGTCAAAGCTAGATAGATAACATTGTTAACACTCAAGCACTAGTCTATAAGTATATTATTGTATTTGATGAAGGCATTAGTCTCAACATTATAGATGTAGGACTAGGATCAGGGTAATACTTGTGATAGATATGATATGGAAAAATCATTGTTTGTGCTTGCTTGTAAAAGATATATACAGACAACGCATTAACAAAACACAGTGATGTATAAAAGATGACTTACCCAACCAAATCAGCAGCAAGAACTGCACGGAGCAGTTCTGAACGAGATGGCAAGGTTCTGTGGATTTCAGAGGAAGGAAATGGAGTGTGGAGAAACCATCCAACCTTCATCTTGCTGTTATGCCTTTTTAAGCACTCTGGGAGGAACATGAGATGATAGTCATGACACCAAACAATATCACCTTCTTTATAGTGCTGATTTACTACATCAGCAAACATCTGGTTTGCCTTCTTGTAAGCAGCCAACTGAGATTGAGAACTTCTAGTGGTAGCAAGCCTATCCTCTTGAGGTAGACCAAGATAATGAAAAAGAGGCCACAATATGTTGTTGCAGTAACCATTATAATATTGATGCACTAACTCTTCATCTAGAAAAACAGGTATACACCTCTGCAATCATATGAGATCGAAATCTTAAAACAAATGGAAAAATAGCCCAGTAATAATACTAAATGTCATGCAGAAGGAATCCTCCCGAAGAAAGTTATGCAGTACATATGTTCCAATAATAATCTAAGTAACAAACCTTCTCTGCAAGAGCCTTCGTGAGAGATTTTTGTCCGACTTCATCAGGAACATTAACACCAGCCCATCCAATCCACCTTGCCTCAAATTCCTTTACACCTTTTGGAAAGCAAAACATAGCATTCAAAATTCTACTTAACATTTGAAGCTCAGGAAGCACATAAAATCAGAATTGACACTCAAGTGTAAGATTACCTAAAAGAGCACTAACCAGCCCTCCAACATTAACTTCCAATGACCAAGAGTCTTCACCTTTTCTAACAGCAGACACCGGCAAACGGTTAGCAACCACTATCAGTCTTTGGGAAGGACTTCCAGCCACAGCATCTGCCGAGTCTTTTTCTACATATGAAAAATCATGCCCGCCACCAGGTTCGGGGCTATTGTTATCATCCGAAATTTCATTGTTAGCCATGTTTGCTCTTTTTAATTGCCTCAGTTCCAGTAGCCTGGATATTCTACTCGTTGGTGCCTTCGAATCACCATTATACTTGTTTCCAGGCATATGCTCAATCTGTAAATCCACAAAGAATATAACATATAATTCACCCCTAAGAAAATTACTACATTTATAATCTGAAGCAGTAAACATTCAAGTTTTAAAGATATCTTATCTTAGTCCAAAATCAGTACACAATCAAATAATAAGCTACTGCAATAGTGCAATGAATTATGAAAAACAACAAACAAGAAATTCTTGAAAATCCAGTTAAACAAGTAAAATGAGCAATTAAATGGGCACTCATTGATTTAGAACAATCCAAAATGAAAATAATTTGACTTAGCTTGACCACAAAGATTAGCAGTAACACAAACATAATTCAACCTATAAAATTGAAAAGTAATCAACCTATAAACTTCAAAAATCAATAAATACAACAAATGCACACCACAAAGAAACACATAAAAATCAACACCCATTAAAACAAACATCAAAAATAAAAGAATTCAAGTAAAATTACAAAGACCCACCTCAAATAAAATGCATATAATATGAAATTAAAAATGCCACAATACTAAGCAACTACAAAATTAAAATTAGTCTCACCTTTGGAGTCAAATCGTCAGAAATTGCTTAAAATTAGTTTGATGAATCAAATTGCTAGAAAAATTGATCAAACCCAGAAAAATTCAAGATCATTTAAGAATTGGGAAGCAAATATAAATTCGTGGGGTGTCTTAAAAAAGAAGAGAGAATCTGGGGTGACAGAAGAGAAATCAAAAGAAAATGATATGAAAGAAAATGGGATCCTGGTGTAAGCTTTATACGGTTCGAATGGAAGGAAGCCATGCAAGAGCTCTCACCATTATTATTAATATTGATTGTGTCTGAAAAATGTGATTTTGTATTTTTTTTTTTTAAGTGCAAACGAGGGGCAAGCCCCTTGAAAAATTGTGATTTTGTTACGTGTCGTATACATAATAATATAACTAGGTTAATCCCGTACAATGCACGATTTTATAATAAGAATTGAATTTTAAACTTTTAACACATATTGAAATAAAATAATTACTTCCTCCGTTATCCTAATTAATTTTTGATTAAATATGAATATACAATTCCCAAAAATGCATAATTTTCATATTTAATTAGGAAATTTCAATTAAATTATATTATTAACTATTGTTAACAAATCATAAATAACTAAATAACATAAAATCTATAGAAAACCAAAAATTTTAAAATTCAAATGGAATTTAATTTTCAAAGCAATGTTAAATAGGGTAGCTTGTAAAGGAAAAATATGACATCGTATTTTGGAGGGAAAAATAAAATAAGAAAGTGACACGTAGACAGGAATGACATCAGCGGTTGTTACTTTAGTATATATATAGATAGATAGATAGATATTCCAATTTTAATCAACTGGCCTTCTTTTGAGCTTTCATTATTATTACTCCCTCCGTGTTTTTTAAATATTACAGTTTGACCGACATATAGTTTTAGGCAATTTAATTGACTTAAATAAAATAAGAGCTAAGTAGGGTATTTAGAGCATTAATAATTTGTAAAAGAAAGATAGTGGGGTTAATAATTTATTGAAAAGTAATGAATGTGAGAGGAAAAGTAGTAGTAGTGGGTTTGGGTAGGGACCATGAGAGGAAAGAGATATAATATTTTAATGTAGTTTTTTGCCAAAAAAAAAAAAAAGAAGTGTAATACTTATTAAAACACGGCCGCCTTTGGTAAGTGTAACACTTATTAAAACACGGAGGGAGTACAATTTAAGAGGTACACCCAGAAAAAATAATAATAATAATAATCAATGCCCACCAACGAGAATCACCACAAACAAAAAAAAAACATGTGTATTAGGAGTTGTGAAACTTAAGGCCCCGTTCTTTAGAGCTTCTCTGCTCTGCTCAAATTAAAATTTGCTCTGCTCAAAAGAAATCTGCTCTACTCGGCTTACCCTGCTCTATTTTCAAATAATAATTAATAATAACAACAATAATAATTAATTATAACAACAATAATAATTAATATTGTATCGATGATAATTGTTTAGGGTAAAAATACCCTAGACACTTGGACCAATGAGAGAGCTCCACGTGTCAAGGGCTGGCAGGTCATCCCAGACCACTCACCAGTTGACACGTGGGTGTCTCAGATATTCACCTTGAATTGCGCCTTCAAGGGCCCAAATCCCAAGAATCCACATTTTGCGACGCAACCCATCACACCTAGGTCAGAGTGACCTACGGAGGGGCACATTTCCCAACGGCCCTATAAATAGGGAGATATTCCCCCATTTTGGAGACATCTACAGTCATTTATTACACCCATATTCTCTCACATCAGAGAACACCTGAGCTTGGAATCCAAGCAGATACCCACCACCTAAATTTCCGCACTTTTTACTCCTTTCTAAGTTACTAACTTGACCTTTAGAGGTGGAGCTCTAACAACCGGAGTCTCCGTGTTTTTGCAGGTACAGCCCGAGCCGAACCAGACTTTGCGACTTAACTCTCCCAAGGGACAAAAACACCCAAAACATTTGGCGCCGTATGTGGGGAGAGTACCTCAAAGATGGTTCAAGAGTTTGTACCACCTCCTGATCCAAACAACCTACAACCGGTTATCCAACCGGGTAATACCAGCAATCAACATGTTCTCCAACCGGATAATTCAGGCATTCCTCAACCAGTACATCAGCCGGAGGTCTTTACTGACCAAGATGATGATGTGGAGACGTATGAAGCCAACGATGGCTCATTTATCTCCAAGTACACTAGTTCCAGAGATCAGATGGAACGTAATGCAGACCAGGTGGGTCCAAGCAGGCGGCCCCCTGGGAGGCCAGAAGGGGAAATAAACCCCGAAGGCCAGAGGATCAGCCCCAGTCACCCGGAATGAGCTCATGAAATTCATGAACTTCTTTAAGGGTGAAATCAAGGAGATGATCAACAAAAACAAGGCTGGCTCTAGCAACGTCAGCCGGCTAAAAAGACTTCTCCATCTGGGAGGAAGAAGCCGGTCAAGGACAGGCGGCCAACTCCTCATCCGAAGGAGAAGAAGAAGGCAGCCGCAAGACTTGACTGGTCTAAGATCCTTTTACCAATGTTTAAGGAGTTTTTTGCAACAAATTTCATGAAAAAAGGTTAAGTATTGAACCTTGTATGAGCATTAATTCGTTTGAGTTCGTTTTTGCAATTTTCTTCGAATTTGATTTCTGTTATTTTGCTTGCTCATTTTGGTTATACTTGTTATGAAGTAATTATAGTATTAGAACTAATTTTATCTTCATAACTAATTTTTTAAAAATTTTGAATCCGAAAAATTGGCGCAAAGTGTATACTTAACTTATTTTTGCCATGTTCAAACTTCAAGATTGTTTGGTAGACGATAATTGCGTTAGTGTTACTATTATTCACCTAGAAATAGTTGAATCTTTGAGATTTAGGACTATAATATCTTGAATGCTTAGTTGAAACTGGCATAGGATGGCTTTTGTGGGTGTTAAAAACCCCCATTTACTGAGTTTAACTGCAGGTATCGTAGCCCCCAAGTATGGGTGGCATTTGATTTTTGTGTTTTACCCTATGGGTGGCATTCGATTTTTGTGTTTTACCCTATCTAGAACACGTATATTAACTTAGTTTAGAAACTAATAAGGAAACTTTCTCTGTCATAGCATGGACTCACCTCCGTTTGTCGATGCTGAGGAGGTTCTAGTAGGTCCTGACGAGGCGGTCCGCTCTCAAAAGAGGGTGACCCGTCCTCGTGAGGAGGTTCGGGAGCGACGCGTCGCAGCCGATCGACGTCTCCAAGAGGATGTGGTTTAGGAGGCTCCTCCCAACTGAGAACCTACGATCCTTAAGTGGGACCCAGACCATCATGTCTCGATCAGAGGATGGCGTGGCATTGTGAGTTCTTTGCACCTTCAGTTTTCTTTCCTTTTTCCTTTTTTCCCCTTTTCAAACCATAACCATTTTTTATTATTCTCTTTAGAGTGATCCTAGCATGCGTCTATATGGCTCTGGTGACATGCTGACCCGTTTTGAGAGTTTACACAAGGTGGTAAAGGGGATTGTGGAGCTGTCGGGGCTCAGCTCCTAGCTGGCGGCTCTTCGGGATTTATCGAGTCAGCCTGCGTCGTCAGCTTTCCTCCACGGATTGCTGGAGTTTTGGTGGGATTCCACCAACACTTTTCACTTTCCGTGGGGAGAGATGACGATTACCCCTTACGACTTCTCTATGATTACGGGTTTTCCTTTTGGAGGCGAGCCCGTAGCCATAAACATCGCCAGGGGGTCAGACGAGAGACTGGGTGACCTTGTGGGGGGGATCGTCTTGCGGCGGCCCGACCTTCACGTGTACGCGCAGTCTTGTCCGTATTCGATTCTTGCCGATGAGTTATCGGCTAATGAGGTTAATCGGCAGTGTACACCTAAGCAGCTGGCTTGGATATACATTGCTCACGTTCTCTCCGTCACTATCTTGAGTGATCGGGGAGAGCGTTTCGCTATCGGGTTACTTATTTGCCTCAGTGATTTGGGGCAAGTTGGTAACCTGAGTTGGGCGGAGGTGTCGTATGCCTGTATGCTTACAGCTATGGGCAAGGCGACCCGAGTGATGGATCCTGCGGTAGCTACTAAGGTGCCTCGGATCTCCCTCACGTGGCATGGTCATATCCTTGAGGTACGTACTTTAAATTTTCCTTCAATTACTATTTTTGCTTCTTTTGAGCTTATCATTTTCCATTTTCCTTTAGGCTTGGGGATACTTGTACCTGCCTTTCTTAGCCCCCAAAGTGCTCGCGCGAGACTGCTTGTTTTCCTATCGGCCAATGACTGGTCGCGATTAGGAAGAAGCGAGCCACTTCAGCCGGCGACTTGCGCCAGAGGATCCTTTCGGCGACTCGTGCGTCGGTGAGCATTTTGGACAACACATGCGTATCTTTCTTTTTTTTTGATTTTATATATATATTTGATGATTTTTCATGTGTTTGTATTTTATAGATCGATCTCCGTCCTTGGAGTTTGATCGTCGGAGTCCTTGAGGCTGTCCGGTCTGGCATGGTTCGTTGCCATTTCCGGGCCCTCTATGTAGGAATCCCGGTGCTTTAGAGGAAAACGCTTGGTTTTTGGGCGAGCGTGTTCTCTGGCAGGTCTCATCCGAGGAGCCTTTGGTTTCTGCGGATCCTCCAATCCGGATGTTACATCCGGATTTGCTAGGATCAAGCTCAGACGATCCTTGGTTATCTAGCGGACCAGCTGGTGCTGCCGAATGCATCTTATCCGACATTTATTGCATCTAGGCTGACTCCTTTCCCAACTTTCGTTCCGGCTAGTACTTTAACTTTCTTCTTTTTTTTATTTTTTTTATTATTATATTTTTTTGGAACTTTAACCCTTTTTTATTGTTTTTTAGCGGGTCGAGCTAGGTGGTTGGGTGCCTCCTATAGCAGAGATCACGTATACCGATGCTGTCGGATCGTTAATTCGTGAGATCCTTCCAGCAGCGGAAGATGAGGAGGGGATACCGTTTGTTCCTGAGACGGTTGAGTCGGTATGTCCTTTTTGTATATGTGCTTTTATATTTTTCATATACATTTGTTTTCTAACTGTCCTTGTATTTTGGAACAGCTTCCGCGAGAGACCGTGAACGGCATGGTGAGGACTTTGCGTGCCTTCCGAGCTGCTTATCGGAGAGCCCTCGTGACTTTATCATGCCGTGATCATCGGATGGTCACGGTAAGTTTTATCTCTTTCTTTTTAACGAAGTTATTACATTTCTTGTATTAATCTTCGTTTTGGATTTTGCTGGATGTGCAGCAGCAGTCTAGTAGTCGCCGAGCACCCTGATTCCCTTTGTACACACACACACACACACACACACACACATATATATATATATATATTTTAGGAAACTGATGTACATTTTATTTATTTATTTATTTATATATTTTTTTATTTCTTTTTATTGTACATATGACACATCTGTTGTATATATATGTCATTATTATTTTTTTATTTCCATGTGTACATTTTTTTTAAAACAAAAAATTTTCGAGGTAGGGAAGGGTTCTCGACTTACCCCCC